TAGTATAGTATAGTACAGTGTTGTAAAGTATACGTATAGTATAGTGTAGTGTAGTATAGTATAGTACAGTGTTAGTAAAAGTATATTATGTAAGTGTAGTGAGTAACTATACTATACTACACTATAACTTAACTAAACTACACTACACTATACAAACTAATACTACACTGTACTATACTATACTAACACTACACTATACTATACACTATACTATAACTACACTGTACTATACTATACTATACTAACACTATACAATACTATAACTATACTACAACTATACTCTACTTTACTATACAAACAATACTAAACTATACTCTACATATACTATACTATACTATCCTATACTATAACTATACAACACAATACTATACTAACTACACTAACTAACTACACTACCCTACACTAGACTATACTATACTATACTACACTATACTCTACTTTACAATACCTATACTATACAACACTATACTCTAACTTAACAATACATCACTATATCTACACTACTACTATACTATACTAACTATAACTAGACTAACTACAACTATACTACACTAACACTAAACTATACTATACTATACTATACAACAACTATACCTACACAACACTACACAATACTACACTATAACTATACTATGACTATACACTACTGTTACTATACATCACTATACTTACACTAAACTCTACTTACTATACTATACAATACTATACACTATACTCTATCTTTTACAAAACTATAACTATACTACACTATACAAACACTACACTACCACTATACTACAACTACTAAACACTACACTAACAATACTATACTATTACTATACTACACTACACTACACTATACGACACATCACTATAACAATACAACACTATACTAACATCACTATACTAGACTATAGTAACTAACGATTATACACTTTTGAAACTCTCATTATGGATTAGGAATTATATTACAACTACTGAGCCGCCATTTTTCACACCTGCTCCATTAAAACCTGATGAAATCTGAGTAATTACCGCCCTGACCATTTTTGTTTTGAATGGGTTTGTCATCTACTTTACTAGTGCTAAAACTGGTGAATATAACTTGAAAAACAGATGAAAGGCTAAATGCTAACCCTCCTGCGAACTAAACATGCGAATGCAATGGAAACAAGCAGCGGCTCGTATCTGGAGATAAAACTACTCAAAATGTAAAACAATAAAAGAATAAAATATAGACCAAGATCTATCATGAACTTAAAATATCAAAATGTGGTTTAATTGCAAGAACTCGCCAATCCTCCAGGTAAGAAAATACAATTATAACTTAAACAAGACTTAAAAAATATGACTCATAATTGTGTGTTTTAGGATCAAATAAATTCAAAATGTCTGTGGGATGCGGGAGCAGATGGACCCAAAAGGTTCAATAATTACTTCTTTGTTTTTTGTATAAAACATTTATTAAAACGTTTTTAGATATATGGGTATTTTGCCTAATGGAGTTTTTTATGTCGTAACAAAAAAAATCAACCGTTTTTCAATCGACAAACAGATTAAGTTTTACAGATGGGTGCCAGATTCTCAGACCACAATGAAATATCCATCCATTTTCTTCCCCTTAATCTCCATTTCTGGGTCGGGGGGTGGCATTCAGAGCTGCACCCAGGCCCCAGTAGCCCCAGCCCCTCACTGACCTCCTGCAGGTAGCTGAGGTCCACAGGCCTTGATCTTATTCAGCAGGGGGCTTTCATGCAAAGTGGGGTTAATGTCTTGCCCAAGACCAACGGCAGCATTCATCAGTGGACCACAAGAAACAATAATCCCATAAAACCCATCAGCAATAAAAAGTAAAAGTTTGGCTGTATAGAAAGTGCCCTGATCGAGCGAATGCGTTTTAGGTTAAGCAAAAGACAGACAAATCTTCAGAAATGTGACAGAAAAAGTCACCGTCGTTCATAGCACCAAAGGCGAACCCTACACCCAGTATATTTAACACCACTGAGGTATGGAGTGGAGAATGACACTGTCCCCAACCCATGACCCAAGACAAGGCCTAATAATAACAATAAAAATAATAATGATAATGAAAATAATAATAATAATAAGAATCAACATAATAACAAATGATAGGATAAATCAATTATTATTGTTATTATTCATATTTAAGATCTTTTTTCCAGTATATCAATATGGCTTTATTAAAACAGGTCGCTCTGTGCCAGGACTAGACCACTTTGACGTGGGATTTTTAATAAATGTAAAATAGTGTTTTAGTGTTATAGTTTTCAATTTATAGTGACAGAATTAGCAAATATAGAATGGTAATATTGGGTGAAAAACAATTAACACTCAACACTGTTATTTCTTTTAACTGTGTACCCTTTTACTGGCTACCTCGAGGTGCCATATAAAATAAAAATGTATTTTATGTATTAAATTATAGGGATTTTTCCATGTAAACCAGTATAATGCAACTTAATAGGGGTTTTTACATGTAAACCAGTATAATGCAACTTAATGGGGATTTTTCCATGTAAACCAGTATAATGCAACTTAATAGGGGTTTTTACATGTAAACCAGTATAATGCAACTTAATAGGGTTTTTTCCATGTAAACCAGTATAATGCAACTTAATAGGGATTTTTCCATGTAAACCAGTATAATGCAACTTAATAGGGTTTTTTTCATGTAAACCAGTATAATGCCCACTTAATAGGGTTTTTTTTCATGTAAACCAGTATAATGCAACTTAATGGGGGTTTTTACATGTAAACCAGTATAATGCAACTTAATAGGGGTTTTTTACATGTAAACCAGTATAATGGAACTTAATAGGGGTTTTTACATGTAAACCAGTATAATGCAACTTAATAGGGATTTTTACATGTAAACCAGTATAATGCAACTTAATAGGGTTTTTTACATGTAAACCAGTATAATGCAACTTAATGGGGATTTTTCCATGTAAACCAGTATAATGCAACTTAATAGGGGTTTTTACATGTAAACCAGTATAAAGGATAACAGTTTAAAGGATATCAGGAGCTTCAAATACTTCAGGAGTTTCAAAGATGTTTAAAGTATTTTAACAGTTTTTTTCAGCAAGGATTTTTCAGCTAAATTCCACATTAGATCTGTTTCGCAGTCAATCGCAATGGCTTCAGCCATTGCAAAGGTTTCTAGTTATTGTTGCTTTTTTGTGTTTGAACTTTTACTGTTGATTTTCTGTATAGGCGAATCAACAACTTTGTAAACTTCTTCCAAGATAATTTTCGTCATGTAGGTATGTTAGTTCAGTTTTTTGGCTTCAACCAATACCTTTTCACACCATGCAAAGGTTTTCTTATTTGCTTTTCTTAATATTTGTGAATAATTGTTGGCATATCTCGCACATGTAAAAACAAATTGTGAAAATAATGGAAGTACTTACCCATAGTCTGTGGATGAACGAACGGAGGGCTCTCTGCTTTCCTCACGAGACAAGCAGCAGACTCAACAGGCTGCAGCACAGGTGTCTAAAGACCCTGGTAATTACCGTGGGGCAAAGACCTGCGGCAGGAAGCTAATCAGGCTAATTGGGTCACAATCGGTTCACTCGATTAATATTTACAGACTTTGGTTCACTCACTAGAGTTAAAGCTGCAGAACCTATTTATTTTTAATTTTTTCATTTGTTCTAATATTTACAGTCTATGGTTCTAATCCCAACAGAAAAGTTCTTGTTAAAGTAAAATGATGTCAGACCTATTCCTCTTATTACAAAACATACTTGTAACCCTAGTCCTAGTATATATAGGGTTACAAGTTTATATAGTATCATTATTTAGTATTATACTTTTTTTGAAATGTATTTTGAACTGCCATGACACTGGATTTAACAAAGTTCAAAATAAAAAAATATTGATTGATAGTACTAACCCACATGGGGTGCCAGTAGTAGTTAGATGTTGAATAATGTAAAATAAGGACTAATAAGTGCTTAATGAATACTATTACTAGGAGCTAATCAACCACATATTACACAAATTAGCACTTTATCTGTTAATTAGTGAGGGTTAAACAAAAATGTGATCATAACAATACATTACTCAGATACAGGTTTAATATTGTTTTTCAGAGATCTATTTTCTACTATAAGAAACAAATGTATATTGATGCCAATACAACACATTTGATGTATGGATGGTAATAATGGATTTTAGTGGATTTGTTCATTGCTCTAGTTCGTCACCCCACATTTTTAAACATGAAAAAAATCTGAAAATAGTTTCATGAAAAAAATGGCCTAAAAAATGACATGTGCAGAGACTTCAGAATCATTTTTATTGCCACGTAAGTAACAGGAAGTCACAGACTTAGGGAAGGTCCAAATCCAAAAAAGGAATATCTATAGTATGTTATACTTCAAATTTCCTCAACAGAACTAAAATATAATCCATATTTAATAAAATGAAAATAGTATGTTGCATAATGTAAGAAAAATATATCTGCAGATGCAAAAGATTAGCCCAAACTTTACACTGGATATCCCTTATTCTCACTCAAATGCTACACATATCAAATGGCAACTACATGAAAACTACTCCCGCCCTCCACAATATACCGATCTCACTCCTGATTAATGGTATTTTAAAGGGTTCCAATGGCGCACCTAAAATTTTGTAAATTACTTGCCCAAAGACATTTCTGCAAGAAAATCTTATCTAAAACCATATTCTCTACAAAAGGAAATATTTTTGACAGAGTGAAGGGAAAAACTTACAATATGAATGATTAGATTTTATATAAACAAGATCTGTGCTCAGCCTACTGCCTCCACAATTCTGCCCCAGATAAAGCTGAAGATAAAACAGACGTTGTCTGGAATATAAAAAAGACTTTATTGAAAGCAATGGCAAATAACAGTATGAATACAAAACAAATACAATATCAAATTATGTGATTTACTGATTAGATTTACTTCAGGCCAACCAAAACTCTCCCCTACCTCTGGATTCAAAAGGTATGGGCTCCTGCACTAGTTGGGCTTCACAAACTCTACACTATTAGGAGTTTCATCAGGAAATCCAACTGCGACAAACACCTCAGCAAAATTTGTCTGAATCATGGCGAGCAGGCGCATTCCGTCATCCACGTCATAGAAGGACATGCTCGCAGCCAACGTATCCACAAAAACGCCCACGCGGTTCACCTTGTGCGAAGTCTCTATCGTCACCTCTTCTTTGTTGTGCCAAAGAGTGGTCTTTGAGGAGTCCATGCGCAGAAAGCAAGACCATGAGTTCATTCCCAGGACACATTCTTGCCCCTCTCCCTTTCGATGGATTCTCTGGTCTGCAAACCCCAAGATCTTTGGTTCCTTTTCCCACACCGCCTCAAAGTAGGAGTGCAAGAGCAACAGTTTTGCTAGGGCCTGTCGGGCATGGCTGAATCTTTTCGGGTGATCTGGGTATTTCTGCGGCTTCTTTACCACAGTTACCTTGCGACCGTCCTCTGACAGAAGGAGACATGGATGGGCAGTGTCTGGATCGAGCTGGATGTCCACGTAGCATCTCATAAACTGTTCCCTTGTGATTGGCTGGTAATACAACACTGGAGAGAGAGAGATTGACAGTGGGAGGTTTTTGGTCTTACTGAGCTTCTCCGAGACATCTCTCATTAAATCGGTGAGTTCTTTGACAGTATACAGAGTTGGTATCTCTGGGTAGGTTTTGGGTTTTTCCTGGCAGAAGGCTTTATACACCTTTTTGAATCTCACAAGGTCTTTGATCTGAGACAGCGAGTCCAGCTCAGACAGCCGCTCGGTGACATCTCCCACCTCCTGCTCCAGTTGCGCCTGAAAAAAAAAAAAAAATTTGAAAAACTACAAATGAGACAATGGATTTTGTATGTAATTCTTGCCCTTTTTTATGCTCAAGATCCTAGATTTGCTCCTTTTGAGCGAGATATTTTTCATTTAGTATGTAATTATTGTCTCCTCTAAACTTGTGATGCAACACTGAACAGATGTGACACTGCTACTTTCTTGAGGCTTATACGGCAATGCAGCCCAAGTGTGTATTTGACTCATTGACTGCCAGCCGTTTTTGATGATTTCAGTGATTTCATAAGACCCACAGAATACTATGTGCTAGGACTATGTGAAATATGAAACCAGATTCTGAAAAACTGGATAGTCTACTTTCATCAACAAAAGTAAGTTTGTTTCTAGCTAGTTTTGTTCTCCTGTAATCCCCAATCAAATAGCGGGAAGTTTGACAGAAATCACCGGTCTCAGACAATGGCAGTCAATGAGTTAAGAGTTCTCAGTAGATTTTATGGGTCAACATTTCTCAACAATCTTAAAAAAAGTTAATTATCTGGCCGCAATGACCTCACTTTCCCGCACATGCATTTGGACATGCGCTGTAACCGATAACAATGACAGCAGATCAACTAAAGCTGCTTAAAAAGGTAACAGTGCAGTTTTTACTACACTCATATTGCAGTCCAGGGTACTACGGAAGCCTTCAATAGATGATATGCAGTCTTTGACAGTGCTCCTCAACTCTGTCATTCACCTGACTGCCAATGAAAGAATTCTTTAGTTTGATAAACAACAGGGTCTTGGCCGCTTGACAGTAGGGTGGAGGCGACATGTAAACAAGACCCGCGTTCTGAAGCACCACCTGCTGCACAGAGTTCAAACCCAGCAGGAGCAGAGCAGACTCCTCCCATTTCCTCAAATCTTCAGGTTAGGACTGAGCTTACTTGAGGAAATGGGAGGAGTCTGCGCTGCTCCTGCTGGATCTGATAGAAAACCTGCATCCACAGCAGCCCTTTCTGGACCATTTTGGACACCCCTGCTTTAAAGCGTTAAAGTAGAATTCTACTTTGGCCAAAAAAATACACGCAAAGCTATAGTTTCAATTTCCATTTTCACTGCTGCTGTTAAATGCAGAATGATGTTGGTGCATTCTTTCCTGTCATCACCGTGGCCTGAGGAGGATGTTGAAGTGATAATGCTGCTGCGGGTCGCTGTTTTGTTGAAAAGTTCTACTTCCCACTACTGGCCAGGTGCTAGAACTAGATAGTCTTCTGTTATATAGACGCTGTGCACTTTGGAGCCTGGTTTTTGCAAATGGCTTTGCAGCAAATGGCTTTGCGGCCCTGTTCTCCGTCTAAACAGGGCCTTAGTATCTCTGCTATCTATTTACATTGTGTTTCTATATATAGAAACAGAACTTGAATTCTGATAATTGTCTAAGTTGGTGACTTTCCTTCAATTTTAATCATTAAATTAATTTGAATGAGAGCAGTCAAAATTGTGTTCTAGTAGTTTCAGGATTCTGGGAGTGTTAATGAATCTGGTCAAGTTTTGGTTTGAATGGAAGCAGTCTGGACGACAGTGTTCTAATGTTAATACAATAGATAAAATATAAGAATTTATAAGCCATTTGCAGTAAAACCACATTAGGAAAAACTGCAAGACTACACCAGTGTGCACAAGCCAGCACACACCAGAGCTCTTGCCACAGCACCATAAGGATGATTTAGTAGTTTATAAACCATATTAGTTTTATAAACCATAGTAGTTTTATACATACATACACACCCTACAGTAGAGTATGTAGTATTTTGTACTGCCTCTTAAAAAAAAAAAAAAATTTCATCATTATAATTTCATTCTTAAAATTGTGTGATCCTGTGGGATTCTTTACCTTTCTTTTGTTGTTGACCTGCACCTGCTGCAGGAACCACGTCAGTGCTACCCCAGCATTATTTAACAGCGCCCGACAGAGTATAAAGTACTCTGGTGCCCGATTGGAGAAGTCCACGGTTGAGTCTGTGATCATTTTCTTGATTTTTTGCTGGATTTTTCCTCGAGTTCTCTTGTGCTTCTGCAGCAGAGTCTCCACATTCTGCTGCTCTGCAACCATCACCGCTTTCCTTCTAACCATCTCTTCCTCTGCAGAGATGATCTGATGGCCTGGAACAAACTGAATCATTACACTCAATTCGAGAGACACACAGACCATGGATCTATTATAATAACGACACAGACACTCTTGGTTCAGTGGAAAGTGACAGCAGCGCCCATGTAGTCAACAGCGCCCCCTACTTTGACAGGCTACCATTGCATGCAACAGCGAAATCATACCGGTCACAAGATTTGATATTGAACAAAAAACAAGCATCAAAAGCAAAAGAAATTGCGAGAGAAAGAAAATGTGATGGGATGAAAACAAGTGGCTGAAAAACATGGGGTAAGTATCCTGATGTTTGTTTATTTGGCCGTCCCAAAGCTAAGTTGCAAAAGTATTCAGGTTAGCTTGAACTAGCAAAACCACAGGTTTACTTTCTTACTTCTGCAACTGCACAGTAGACTACACTTAGACCTTGTTTTTTACTTCGAAGCTATGGGAAATAAAAAAAATGAAGTGTGCATACCACCCCGAAAATTGATGGTTGCGCCCATACCCGTGAGAGTGACACCACAGAGGACATGTACCTGTGTGCAGCTTCTCCGCGCAGACCGGACACACCAGCTGCCTGTCGGTGTTGCAGTACAGGCTGACAGTCCGGTGATGCACGTGACACACGTTTTTCTTCAAGTCAATCCCGGGCTCCACGGTCCAGTGCTCCACCATGTGCCCGGACCGGTGTCTCTCGCAGTAGGAGACCCTGCAGCCCAGACAGGTCATCACGGCTTTGCGCTTTAGCCGCGGGCACACGTCGCAGGCCACCTCCCCGGGCCCTGGGAACTCAAAGGGCCCCACTCTGTTCACCACATCTTTTAGGATTTGCTCTAGGGGTGAGTTTTGGATCAAGACCGGGCGAGAGCAAAACTTATGCGGGCATTTCGGGCAGGTGTAGCCGCGGTCCTTCTCCCGGTCCCAGTGAGCAGAGATACAGCCCGAGCAGAAGGTGTGTCCGCAGGCGAGAGTGGCCGGGTCTGTGAACACCGCGGAGCACACGCTGCACCGGAACCAATCCCGCCCCGGGGCGCTCAGAGCGGCCAGGAAGCGATCCATGACTATGACCCGGTGTTCGAGAGACACATGTGTAAGAAATTCGCCAATGCTGAGGGATTTAACACGTCAAGCCTGGGGCAATCAGCCAATCAGCTCCCTGCGACTGTGTCACGGATAAATAAAACACAACTAACTAGAATCAATATCTTCTCTAAATTCTTAATGCACAAATACAATTCTTTAAAACTTTAACTCTAAAATGAGGCCTTATAACAATGACATTTTCTCTTAATGTTTTTTGTTCACTTGGATTTAGCTATTTCTATCGTATTGTAATGTATAATCTGTAAACCTCCAAGCATAATTCATCAATAAATTATATGTATATAGAAAAACCTGCTCGGATTCTGAGGCGCACAGGGACTGGCCTCCTGCTGAGTCAGGACTAAACATGAGGAGGCAGCGTTTCAGATTCATGCTGCTAAAATCTGGAACAGTCTTCCTTAAATTGTGAGTCAGGCTGACAATGTTCAAATCCGGTTAACACAGTTCTGTTTACAACTGAAGGATTGTGTCTTCACTCTTTTCATTGTTCTGTGATTAAATAGGATTTTAATGCCTTATGCAATTGCTTCTATCTTATTTTGAGTTGCCTTGTGTATGAACTGTGCTATAAAAATAAACTTGCTTTACTTTTAAGTGTAAGCCAATTAAAAATAGACCTATCTCTCAAACAAGCCCCCTTTCAGACGCAGGTTTAAGTGGTCTATAAGTACTTAGGACCCACTGCTGTTGTGGCCTGTCTTCCCCAGTCACACTTGTAATTTGTATAAAGCTGGTTGCAAAAAAAGGGAGAAAAGAAACCAAAGAGAGAGAAAGAGACACCAAAGAGAGAACGAGATCAAAAAGAGAGAGACTACAGACAAAAGAGATTGAGAGAGGCCAAGAAGAGACCAAGACACACCAAAGAGAGAGAGAAAAAGGCAACAAACTCACTGTGTTAACTATATATAATAATAATGTGTATGTATGCAGTAGGACTAAGAATCTATTGCAGTAAATATAATGTAGATTTCTTTGTGTTGTAATTTTGAGGGAGGGCCCAAAAGCAATGGGAGGGAACAGTTACATCATGAAGCATCTGATAAACTCTCCTCCCTATTCCCTCCTTCAAAAGCCATCAGCTGTCCAAGTGTTCGTCCTCAGTGCAGGGCAACAGGTGAGGCACTAATTTATTTTGTTTTATATTGTATTTTGCATTTATTAACAAGAAGATTTGCAGATTTTGGTGCTTTGAGATAAATCGGCTTTAGTTTAGAAGTCTTTCGGTCAGGCCATATGTGTTTGGACTGATGAAACATTGTAAAATGTGTTTATCAAGTGACAAAGGCGACTAAACCACTGAATAACCATAGCAACAATTGAAAAATCACTAAACAGTGGAAAATATGTACATAAATATTCTATACATTACTCACTTTGGTGGTGGGCCCCTTGTTTAAAATCTATGGTAAAAACAGTAAAAAACTGTTTATTTGTTGAGCAGTAGTTAAACTTATATAAGTATAATTATTCATATTTTTATGTTCTGTTTAAAATGACAGTTTGTTGTCCCAAAAACACCCCAAATGTATTTATAGCTTACAAAAGGTCTTATCAAGGCAATCATTGAGAACAAATCGAATCCATATTATCCTTTGCTTCTTTCATTCCCATATACATGTGTTTTATTATATTTTTTCTCTTGATTGGTCAATTTGTGTTGTGGTGCAATTTTTTAGGTAATAGCTTCAATTAAATTCAATGCCAGCTGGAAAAGCACAAGAGATATATTTAGTGGGAGTAATGAAATACAGGAATGGACCAATGATGTTTAACATCTATATATTGATTAGTGTTAAAGATTGATGACAGGAAAACTCCCTCTCGTCTAGTAGAGGTGGTAAGTATTTTTGTTTAAGTAATTGTCTCAAGTTTACTTTTGCTAATTACTTTGAGTTAATAATAATAATAATGCTATATAATATTTTATATTGCGCTTTGTTTTGGACACTCTTCACATGTCATTATTCATCACTTCACAAACGGTGGTGATAAACTATTACTGTAGCCACAGCTGCCCTGGGGCACACTGACAAAAGCGAGAGAACCAGTGTGTGCCATTGACCCCTCTGACCACCACCAACCATTCACAAGCACACCAGACTCTTTCTACGTAATGTGGCTGACGATTAGGACACAAGGACACAACTACAGTCTGGCACTTTACGGCCGCAGCCGCCCCACTGCATGTGGCACTTGGATTTCCCATAGGTCTCCCATCACAGTACTAACCAGGCCCTGCCCTGCACAGCTTCAGAGGTCTGACAGGACATAAGATCAAATATGTGAAGCTCAAAGATGTAGGAGAAGGTGGAACTAATGCAGTTTGACGTGATTAGTGAAGTGAAGAAAATTAGTATAGCTAGCTATACCATGTTATAATTAGCATACTTATAAGAAAGAACCCTGTGAGTCACTACTTGACATTTTGAGCTGAGAGCTGATTGGCTGAGAGAAGGGGGTCCCCTCTTTTTCACTTTTCTGTCTGAAAAAGCTGATCTAAAGCTGTGACACAAACTAGTGCTCTAAACTAGTGATAGAACCAAGCTGTTGTGAGAGAGAGGAGCTGCTGTAATTGTATCTTATATTGTATATTAATATTTACAGTCTATGATCTTATAGTTAAATCGGATGTGGCTTTACTAAACGTCTAAGGACATTTATGGACATGGCCATCCAGCTTCCTTTGTGTTTGTTATTATTGCATTTCCTGTGTTAGAACTGTTTGATTCTCTAAACTGTTGTTGGCGAATCCACAACCTTCTCTAAATCTTAATCTCAAACTTTGTAAATTCCTCGCTCCAACATGACTACTGTTATGATTTAGGCCTATACAAAATTGAACTGAATTGAATTGAATATTTGTCTTTGTTAATGCCATATTTCTTACACATCACTTTCTAAGCTAGTTGTGACATAATTAGCTTCTCCATTCCTCTCTGAACGTAAACACAGTTTGATCTTGCTCGGCGTAATGTACAGATAATGCGCTTTGACCCAGAAAGGCTGGTTTTAAATGCCCCAAATTGCGCTGATAATATCTTTACACAAGAAACCCACAAATCCTTAGAAAGACTTATCATAAAGCAGCAGATGGTGAAGTGACGTGTGGCCTCTCGACCTCAGACCTGCCCCTCACTGACATGTGTTGTAATGGTTACGATTCAGCCCTACGAAATAAACTGCATTTGAAATCATTCACTTGTTTGAGTAGGAGTAAACACATGTACTTAAAGCTGGGATACCTAATATTCAAACCACAAGAAACAATACAAATACTGTTTAAAGTAAAATGCTAGCAATTTACATGTGTTTTGGCCTTTATCATTTCTTTAGATCAGCTTTTTTAGACAGTCTCTTTCTCTCAGCTTTAAGAGTCAAATAGATAATAAAGATAACATTTTATTTTATGTATAATGTTTTCTAATAAGAGGAAGATGCCATAAAGTGGTTTGATTTGAACATGTTACTTCTAGATTGTTTCTTTTGGGACAAACTTTTTGTATCATTTATGAAGGAAAATAAGTGTTGGAGCTTTAAATTGCAATACAAAAAAATAAAAATCCAGAAAAAACCCTGCCATTGAAAGTAAAAAATATATGAATAGATGGTCCTCACATAAGCGTTTTCACTCAGTAATAAACTGTATTTAGGATTTTAGTTTACTGTTGTAGAAGCTAAACTGTGTTCTATCAGTCCTCACAAAGTCTGCTCACGATGATAGCGTTTGGTCAGCGGCCGCACCCAAACATAAGATGCCTTTTTAATCGCTAATATTTTATTATGTGTATGTCTGTGTGTGTGTGTATGTCTGTGTGTGTGTCTTGTCTCATGTCATCAGTGTTAATGTTAGAGTATCGCTTCTTGTTTTTGTAATGTATAGTAGTGTGTGTCTGAACGACAGGGAGGGGATTGAATCAACAAACACTTTTGGCTTCATTCAATCCCTTTTTTCATACCATTATGCGTCTTACTTCGAAAGAACTGACCAAATCGGCTTCAGTTATTCACAGAGTGCGTCGTATTGAGAACTTATCTGGAATAAAATTACATTGAATTGAATAGTAGCTCAGTTGGTAGAGCATTGGCCTTAAGGCCAGAAGGTTGTGGGTTCAATTCCCACCTCTGCACCTTCTCCATCGACTCCCACTGATGACTGCTGTCGTTGTGTCCTTGGGCAAGACACTTAACCCCACTTTGCCCAAAAGCCCCCACTGAAAGATCAAGGCTATGCTCACACTCAGAGAGCAGCCGTCCTCCTGTGGACTCACCACCTGCAGAGGGTCAGTGAGGGGCTGGTGCTATGAGACTTGGGTGGCATCTCTGACTGCCACCCCCCTGACCCAGAAATGGATTAAAGGGTAGAAAATGGATGGATGGATGGATGAATTGAATAGATGAACAATGCTATCCTGCTGACTCAATGAAGCCCAATAGGAAGTGCTTATGGGCGAAGTTTAGCCACCTATTGACTTACAATTAGTAAGTAATCTTTATTTATATACCGCCCACATCGGAGTCTCAAAGCGGTTTACAATTGTTATTTTTGGGAGTGGGTGTGCAAGTACAGGAGGCACATGCCAGACCTATTGTACATATTTTTAGTGGTAGGGGAAACCGGAGGAAACCTACGCAGACACGGGGAGAACATGCAAACTCCACTCAGAAAGGCCCTTGCCGAGAGCCACCGTGCCGCCAATGAAAAGTAATCTTCTGCAGCTCTGTAACCGTTTGTGGCACACACTGCATTTTGGGCTTAACAAATCGGTGGTTTAGAGCTCTCTGTGATCCTGGTGTTTTATATTATCTTAGCCATATAAGGGTTGACCAATCAGATCAACTCGGCACGGTGGCTGAGTGGATAGCACTCTCGCCTCTCAGCAAGAAGGTCCTGGGTTCGAATCCCGGCCGGACCAGGGCCTTTCTGAGTGGAGTTTGCATGTTCTCCCCGTGTCTGCTTAGGTTTCCTCCGGGTACTCCGGTTTCCCCTACCACTAAAAATATGTACAATAGGTCTGGCATGCGCCTCCTGTTCGGCGACCCCGCTCCCATCTCTGTTTGGAGTGAGTGGACCAATGCCCAAAAATAATAACAATTGTAAACCGCTTTGTGACTCTGGTCTGTGAAAGGCGGTATATAAATAAAGATTACTTACTTACTTAGATGCTTTCATTTGTGGGGAAACTCCAGCTTGTCGTAGCCACCATGTTAGCAACACGTCTGCCATAGCTAACCCCATCGGAGCAAATGCCTGTATAATTTATTTAAATATATGTGGTGCCATGGCTGTGCTTTTGAATTGTTTTGTTATTAAAAATAAAGATAAGACGACCTCATTCTGCTCTCTGATTGGATAATCTTCTTTAAAACTGCAAACATAAATATTATATTATATTAACTTTTCTTGTTTGATAAATACATTTTGATCGTTATCTAAACTAATCAGACCACAACATTTAGTCTTTATCTTATCTTTTACACACTGAAAGCTGATTGGCTGAGTGAGGGTCCTAAACACACACAGAAAACTGGTGATAGAAAGAATTTTAGAGGAAGGAACTATGTACATGGATTTTGTTATTTTTGGGGGGTTTAAGAAGGCACTCCAGCTTTAATATGATTTCCTTCTGTTGGTTCAGAGGTTGATCAGCTGCAGATCCAAAATGGCGTTCCTTCATCACTGCCCGTTCCTGAAGTCGGTGCCTCTGCCAGCTCTGCGCAGAACCGGAGCTGCTTTCATCTCCATGGCTGACCAGTGCCCCATTATCACGCGCCAAATCAGTGTGGGGGCGCTGTCCAAGCTGGAGAAGCAGTCTGCTGAACCAGGCCAGGGGAGGGGAGTCCCAGGCCTGGACCCCAAGAGGACCATGGCCCAGACCGCAGCCAAAGTGGCATCCTCCGTGTCCAAGGCATGTCCGTTTGTGAGCTCCCAGATCGGGTTGGTGCGAGCCAGTGCGGAGGTGCAGGAGGACGTGCAGGAAGGTGAATAGAGGCACAAATATCAGAGGCAGCAGTCTAAGCAGACACACCACACACACTTCCCCCAGCTCATCTGAGGCGTTCTTAGGCCAGCTGAGAGGCATAGCCCAACCAACGTGTCCTGGGTCTTCCCTACTAGTGGGTTGTGTCCGGAACAGATACTGTACTCAAGCCACCTCAACTTGGAAATTCTACAAAATGTAATTCTGAATAGGTACTCACACATGGTCCTGCCTGAAACAAGGCTAAAGCTTCCTCATATGGATAAGCCAACAACACTAATTATATTTTTGTGTACATATCTACTACATGGATTTTCACTTGTTTTTTCAGGGCGAATGAAGTCTCTTCTGAAATCCATCAAGGAAACCGTTCTACCGACTCCAGCTCATACTCGCCCAGTGGAACAACTGCTCACAGAAAACATGGGTGAAATTCTGATTTGAAACTAAACATAGACATAGTGATACTTCAACTTTACTTCCAACGTTGAGTGTGTTTTTGTGTATGAGAAATTTAGTACTTTTATATTCCATTGATGTTTAATTTCATTTAATTTCATGTCTACAGCCATATGTCCTTTTATAGTTAGCATACATCAACAATTATTTCTGCTTGTGTTGCAGTTGGCCCGTCCTACGACTATGACAGCTTCTTTGTGGAGAAGATCAGTGATAAGAAGCAGGACCACACCTACAGAGTGTTCAAGACGGTGAACCGCAGCGCACACTCCTACCCCTTTGCTCTGGACTTCTCTGTTCCCGGTCGAGACGGCGCTGAGGTCTCCATCTGGTGCAGCAACGACTACCTGGGCATGAGCCGCCACCCGCGAGTCCTCAAGGCCATTAGGTGCGAGTTCAACATCCACTCTGAAAGCAGTTATTTGATTTCAATTCTATTCAATTCAATTTATTCTTGTATAGTCCGGAATCACAACAGTAGTTATCTCGAAGGACAAAACCATCAAATTTGCCAACACAGATCAGAAATTCAAACAGCTCAAACATAGAAAATGTTATGATAAAAGACACATAGAGCATTTGGTCCACAAGGGGCAGAGACCAATGTTCATACTCATTGTAGTTAGTGGAAAAGGCGTTATGCACTAGGGATGCGAACTGGCAAACATTTGACGATTCGATATTTTTGAGATATTTGTGCCTTTAAATATTGCGATACAGCAATACTGTGATTCGATATATATTGCGATTCATGTCTCTCATAGCATCCAAAGGCGTTACAAAAATAAGACTGCTCAATGCAAATGTCACATTTATGATTTACTGAAAAGGTAGAACAAAAACGTTAACCTTGAATATTCAGGGCATAGGACCTTATACAGGTTGTTGACACTGGCTGTGAATGGAGAAAATAATTCATTGTTTCTCCTCAGTTCTGCCCTGGAGAGACACGGGGCGGGGGCCGGTGGTACCAGGAACATCTCAGGGACCAGTAACTACCATGTGGCCCTGGAGAAAGAACTGGCCCAGCTCCACCAGAAGGGCGGCGCTCTGGTGTTCAGTTCCTGCTTCGTGGCTAATGACTCCACACTGTTCACACTGGCCAAGATGCTGCCAGGTACAAACCTCTATCTCTCTGTTACTATATAGAAACATACATCAGGTTTTTATGGTGGAGTTATTAACAATTGCGTTTTTTTAGGCAAACTTCATTAAGCCATGTGGAAACTGTTTATGATAAAATATATAGTTTAATAATAAAGAACATGTCAAATATGTCTATATCAGTGCCTGTGTGTTTCTCTGTCTGTGTGTGTGTGTCTGTCTGTCTCTTTCTCTCTGTGCATGTGTGTATGTGTTTTACAATGAGTGAGTGAGACCCCTTTTTAAAACTATGTATTTCTGTGTATTTTAAACCTTGTTTGAAATACTAAATCAGAGTCATTCTAATAAAAACTATCACACATTTCACTCTTAGCCGAATTCACACAGCCACACCTTTAGCTGAGACTTCTAAGTCTAATTTCCCCATTCATCACCGAACGCTTATTCACTCCGTCTTCTCGTCAGGTTGTGAGATCTACTCTGACGCCGGAAACCACGCATCCATGATCCAGGGAATCCGGAACAGTGGAGCCAAGCGTTTCATCTTCAGACACAACGACAGCCAGCACCTGGAGGAACTCCTGCAGAAGTCTGACCCCAAGACCCCCAAGATTGTGGCTTTTGAGACGGTGCACTCCATGGACGGTGTGTGGCCTCTTCCCTCTGCGTTTGAAGTAGAATTTAAAACAACAATCAAAATTGAGGCGTTTATATCGCAAAAACAGATTTCTCTATTTTGAAAATTCCTCAAAAAGTTGTATTCCTCTGGCTACAATCTTGAACATGTTTTGTTATTGGCAGTAATTTTGAAAGAATTTGTCTGGCACTAGATCTGGCTTTACCTAGACATATACAAACATTAATTGTGCTTCAAATCAACTTCACACAGAGACAAATATTTGGACTATCTTTGATTGTGTTGTGTTCAGGAGCCATCTGCCCCCTGGAGGAGATGTGTGACATTGCGCACAGGTATGGAGCCCTGACCTTCGTGGATGAGGTCCACGCGGTGGGACTGTACGGAGCCCAGGGAGCTGGGATCGGAGAGCGGGACAACGTCATGCACAAGATTGACATCGTCTCTGGAACTCTGGGTCAGTTAAAGCTTTGTAACAGAATAAAGGGGGTTTATTTTAGCCTGACTTTTACTGGTACAAATAAGTACAAAGAGAAAAAAAAGCCACGCTCTCTGCTTGTTGAGAGAAGGCTTGTTGAGGTCAGATGAGGCCAGTGTGTTATCAGCTCTGCTCTGAAAGTCTGCACTTAGATATCATTTAACACTTAGGCAAATGCGTGAATATTTACCCTCAGTCACATTTTTAGATCAGTTTTTTCATACGGAAAAGTGAAAAAGGGCCAAACAGCAATTACCTTTCATGGTTTCAATCATCAATCAATCATTTTGAGTCACTATATCTTTCATTTACCTCAATGGGGCATTTCACTTGGATTTAGGCGCTTATACCATCAAGCTGCATTTCAACCATAAGTGAAGCATGAAAACAAGAGCACTAACTAAATATAACGTATGTAACTAAACATTACCTGAACACAAAAAACTCCTATAAACAAATGTACTTTCCTGATGTCCTCTGCAGGTAAAGCCTTCGGTTGTGTGGGGGGTTACATCGCCAGCAGCGCCGCCCTGGTGGACACAGTTCGCTCCTACGCCGCAGGCTTCATCTTCACCACATCACTTCCACCCATGGTCCTGGCGGGGGCGCTAGAGTCTGTGAGGGTCCTAAGGAGCGCTGAGGGCCAGGCTTTACGCAGAGCTCACCAGAGGAACGTCAAGCACATGAGGCAACTGCTGATGGACCGCGGGCTCCCTGTGGTCAACTGCCCCAGCCACATCATCCCCATCCAGGTGAGGGGGACTGGAGCAATAGGGACTGAATCAATAGAGACTCGAGCAATAGGGACTGGAACAATAGGGACTCAATCAATAGAGACTAGAGCAATAGGGACTGAATCAATCAATAGAGACTGGAGCAGTAGGGACTGGAGAAATTCATTCAAACTGTGTTGATTTTAGGTTGGAAACGCAGAGCTGAACACCAAAGTGTGTGACACTCTGCTGGAGAAGTACAACATCTACGTCCAGGCCATTAACTACCCCACAGTCCCCCGCGGAGAGGAGCTGCTGAGGCTGGCCCCGTCCCCCCACCACCAGCCCCACATGATGGACTACTTTGTGGGTGAGTGAAGGCTCCAAGGACACACACTTATGCAGAATATTCTTTTTTGAGAATTTAAACAGGACTCAACATTTGCAAATCAAAAACAGACCTACATCCTAACATGACCAAAACACAAGAGGATTTTACATGTAACATATAACACATTATAATAATTAAATCGGACACACTTTATTTAACCAGACTTGTCCAGGGGTCAACTACGCAGACTGTAAAACTGTTGGACTGGATTATGGATGTTCTGAGTTTTGAAATTAGCTATGAAGGAGCTGAAGTTGGCTGAATGACAACTTACTATACATATATTACATATACTGATGCAGTTGGAGTTGACTGGACGACTCTCTTAACTATTTATGACCTGTCTTTTTGTAAGACAGAGCACATACACATACATGACAGAGAGGGCTGTAATTGGCCATGAAATTAACTACTGCTCCATTGAACCAGTTGATTTACTATCGATGAAAATGTATTTAATATTCTACCACATGAAACATAAATACACATGATTTGTGTTTGTCGCCTTTTCTGAGATGTTTGAACTAGTGAGTCATTTACTACTTTCTTTACAACTGTGTGGATGTTAGATATTTATCATGCAGAATGTACTTCCTACTTCTACCACTAGAGGGAGGTGTTGGAACATTCTTGTCATTTCTTGTTTCATCTTTCATGTTTATAGATACATGTTCAAGGTACTAATTCAATCTTGAAAGACACAAGATGCATTAGAATTATGTTTATTGAGCCTGGTTGTACAAATTCTTGAATATTGAAATAAAGATTAAATACTTACTATACTTCATATTTGTATTGTTTATTATTAAGCTAAAGATGTTTAAATAGAGTTGTGCTATACTAAATATTCTTATTCTTATCTTGTATTGTGTTTGTGTGCTCCTCATTCCTATTGTTCTGTAACTGTAACTAATGCAGCTCTGAAATTTACTGTAAGATAAGATAAAATTAACTTTATTGATGATCTCACAATGTATATTTTTAAAGTCCAAATATGTGCTGCTAATTATCCATTTTAAATATTGTGTTTTTTTCCGTAGATAAACTGGAGGAGGTTTGGCATGAGGCCGGTCTGGAACTGAACAGTGCAAACTTGGCCTCGTGCACCTTTTGTAACCGCCCCCTGCACTTCGACCTGATGAGTGAATGGGAGAAGTCCTATTTCGGAAACATGGAGCCTCAGTACATCACAGTGTTTGCTTAAAATCCTCAATTACGTATTTCTTCCATATACGTTTATATTTCTGATGGTGCTTTACAGATGTACATTAATCGCATTTATATATATATACAGTTTGTTGTTGTATTATTTATTAAAATGACTTTATGTAATGTAAGAAGTGCTTTTCGGCGGTGAAGGCGAATCCTGCACAAGGCACTTTCTCTGAAGTGAAGAGATACAAGACTTGGAGTTTGAGTTTTAAATCTGCATTTCTGCCCAAACAAACATGGAACGTTGATTCACAATATTGCAATAAACCTCTATCTTGCAAGTTTTCAATTAAGTGTTTTTTTTTTGGAGCGATATTTGCAACTTTACTGTCTTTTTTATATTGATTTGTTAAAATACCGACCATAGACATGTATAATAAAGATGGACCATTTAGGAAAATTATCTTGTCTTCACTTCCCTATAAGTACTCACCCTTAATCCAACTACTACCGGATTAACAAAGAAGAAATGTACCAGAAAAAAGGACTCTGTTATTCATAATTGGGAGTTGGGCTGAGGAGCTGATCCAATTTCATGATGTTGAGGTGAAAAACAAGAGATCCTGTCATGGTGTGACTACTCATTTGTTGCCATGCAAATGTTCGTTTTGGCTTGGAATGTCCCTCCGTCTGTATGATACAAAAATCTTGTACTAATAATAAATTCTAACTTTTTCAAGGCTAAAAAACCTAGAAGTACATATTAAGTTGGCTCTTCTCGCTGCAGATATGACCTCAGTTAGCCCAATAAAATGTGTCTCCAGAGTTGATAAAACGAAATGTAATCCCATATTGCAGAGCATCCCAGGCAAAACAATGCTTTAGATTGACTAAAGCATTGTAAAGTGTACCTCTCCCAACAATAAATTCACAAACAATTTTAAAAAGCGTGTACACTGTTGGTTCATAGGTTAGATTACTCTCATTAAATACTAATTCACATTACAGGGACTGGCCACTTCTCTCTTCACCCTTGATCTAAGTCTCTTTAACTCTGCGTTCTCACTGTCCACCGCTAACCCACATTCAACCAGCGTCCAGGCCTTGTCCAATCGCTGTTCCCCGTACTGTTGTAGCGCCCCCTTGAGGAAGCACTCCACCGCTTTGCTCCGGCCTAAACCAGACTCTATGCATCCCACGGCTTGGTCCCGGTGCAGTACCAGAGCTTTGGTGAAATCCTCCAACGCTGGACTGTCTTTTGAGCTTAGCACCAAACTCCTACCTCGCCTGCACAAGTCCTCCGTCTGGATTTTGAGCTCATCTTCACCAGTAGGGGGCGTGTGGTGGCGCAGGATGACTCGGTCCAAGTCGGAGACGGCGTGGTGGTGGAGTCCCAGTTGAGCCAGGCATGCGGCCCGTTGGCGGAGGTACTGAAGTTTGAGGTTACCCATGGCTTGGACCGATACGGTGAGAAGGGACAAGGCCTGGTCCCACTGGCCACTGGAGGAGACTCTGCTTGCTTCTGCTGCTGCTGCCTATAAGGGAGACATTACAATAGTCTAAAATACTGATCCACCGTTTAATTCTGTCACTATCATAGGCTGTACACAGGGATAGACAGAGCTAGCTTGAAGCCCAATAGGTGCTTATGGGCAGGGCCGGAGTGGGACAACATTTCAGGCCGGGAGCTTTTCATCCATTCAGGCCAAACAAGGTTCTAAATTTGGGTTTTTGTCATTGTATTTTGATGTTCTTTTAATAGTTTTAAGATTGACTGTCAAAACTTTTGTTTTCTTTATTTTTTTTTATATTGACTGTTTATATAATCTCGGACGTTTAAGGATTGTTGTACGTTGCTTAGCAACGTAACGTTTATGGAGTTTAGTGAGAATAAAGACACACACACACACACACACACAATGAACTAAGTGTTCATTAGTGTATAACTATAACAAGCTAATCAATTATGTGTTAAAAAAGTAGTAAGGTAAAATCACATCGTTACAGCTCATATAAAAGGAAAAATAAAAACGTGTATGAACCATCAGTTGGAGAGACCACTCATTTCAACCGGGGAAGCTACACTGGGTGCACTGCTAGGCTGGCCTGGCTGTGTAGCCGACGTGTGACGTCACATTTGTTTAATTTTGCTCTGGCCCAATGACAGTAAAGCTTTGGCCAGTGTTGTGCCAGTTCACAGCTTTTCTGAACTAGTTCAAGTTCAGTTCATACATGCTCAAAGTGAACAGTTCACGTTCGAAGTTCTCAATTTTAATTCTGAACTAGTTCAAATTTCAGTTCATTTTACTTTTTGCGAGATATTCAAATAAATATTTTTTTTCACTACGAGCTAGAAATCACAATACGTGATATATATATATATATATATATATATATATATATATATATATATATATATATATATATATATATATATATATTATATCCTGTACACTGCACAGGATGTTTTGACTCCAATGCAGACAAGATTTACATGGGTTTCAATGGGAACTGAGTTGTCCCATCTCTGCTCATAAGTACAAACTGTAATGCGCTGCAGAACGTGTGTCTATACTTTATGTCAAATGTAAACGGCCCTGTGTCACTGACTTATCCCTGTGTTTTCATCACGGCACATGTGAGTCCAACAACCAATGAATAGCACTAGCATATAGCGCCGCACCGCAAGTACACTGAGTCGGGGTGCGTTCACAGACGGTGGAAACCGTAGGAATTTTTAGTTTTCGGCGGAAACAGTGCGGAACTTTCTCTCGTTGCGTTTCAAAAGAGAAAACAGATTTCACTCAGTTTTAAATGGAAAACAAATTGTCTGCCGTTCATGACACATAATATGAACTAATTCACGTTCAAGTTCTTTATTAAAAAATGTGTTGCGTTCAGTTCAACGTTCACGAAAAAATGAGCGTGTTCAATGAACGCGTTCTTTTGAACTCGTTCACGCACAACACTGGCTTTGGCCTGGGCCTTGCTCATTGGACCAGGCCACCAGGCAGGGTAGGAGTTTGCAAAGGCCGTGAGGATGAAATTAAATTAAAAGAAAAAAAAAAAAAAAAAAGACCGTGATGATAGGGCAGGCCCAGGCCACTTTGACACGCAGGCCACCGGGAGATCTCCCGATGCTCCCGATGGCCAGTCCGGGCCAGCTTATGGGTCTATCTATTCATCTATCCATCTTATACTATGGCGGCACGGTGGCTGAGTGGATAGCACTCTCGCCTCTCAGCAAGAAGGTCCTGGGTTCCAATCCCGGCCGGACCAGGGCCTTTCTGAGTGGAGTTTGCATGTTCTCCCCGTACCTGCGTAGGTTTCCTCCGGGTACTCCGGTTTCCCCTACCACTAAAAATATGTACAATAGGTCTGGCATGCGCCTCCTGTTCGGCGACCCCGCTCCCATCTCTGTGTGGAGTGAGAGGACAAGTGCCCAAAAAATAACAATTGTAAACCGCTTTGTGACTCTGGTCTGTGAAAGGCGGTATATAAATAAAGCTTACTTACTTACTTACTTACTATAAATCAGTGCTAAAAAGGTGCGGGAGGCTGTTGACTTCAACATCACAAGAAACCCCACAAATACTTTTATTTTATTTTGTTAAGTCTAACATGCCATGAACACAATAAGTAATCAAGATAGACAGTATTTATAGATCTATTCTCTGTTGACATTTTTTTCTTTCTCAGAATTTGACTGTTTTTTTTAAATTATTTTAACATTTGTAGAGGACCTAACAACACAGCAACTTTTTTTGGTATAATATCAAAGACATTAGATACACCTGACCCAAGTCAGCTCTAACTATAGAAGTGGCTGTACCTTGGCGGTCCGCTTCCTGTGGTTGGGAGGTATGAGCTGCAGGAGTGAGTCCAGCACCTCTGTGTGGTTGTCGCTGAGTTTACTGAGTCTCACAGCCGCGATGCAATACTTCTGTTCCCAGGCCTCCATCACCCCCAGTCGCCCCTGAGCCACGGCATCTCGAGGATCCTGCCCAAAAACCTGCACCAACTGAGCATGGGCTGCTTTCAAATCACCTGAAACGGTAAATCCATACGGATATGACATTATGCTGCTTAAAAAACAATTATTATCTATTATGTGTATCATTTTGATGAGCCTCATTTTGTTTTGTATTATCCACTTTATTTTAAGTATCAAAAAAACATTTTATTTGAAAGAGTAAAAAAAAGAAAGAAAGGTTTTTTGGCCTGAGGGTGAAATTATGAATTGGATGTATCAAAATTAGGCTTTTGCTTCTGTTACTAAAGCCTGGGAGAGAAAACAACCGATCTTGTATGAGATGTTTACTGTTCATTCATGTTCGTTCAGACATTGTTGCTTCATTGTCCTCTTACCAAATACTCCTCATCTATAGTTCTTGCTCTTACCTTTGGCCAGCAGCAGATCCACAGACAGCAGGTGCCATCTTGGATCCCTGCTTTCTGTTTCCAGCAGGGTTTTGCACACCGCACTCTCCTCTCTCAGTGTTTCTTCTGGCAGCAGGAGGCCGTGGCAGGACAGAGTCTGGGACAGTTTACAAAGGCAGAACTCATGCAGCCAGTTGCACACCAGTCTGCGAGCCTTCTCCTTCAAACACAGGATGTCTTTGCTCACTTCATCAGGGTAGATGAGCAGAGCAGCCAGCAGGTCCTGAGTGCATTCCTGAAGCAGAGGTGAGAGAGAGGTGGAGGAATAAAATACAATATACTACCAGTTATGTTTAAAATGTTAAATAGATTTGCTACTTCATTGTCGCTAAGGAACTCAATGTAAGGGTTATAATTATGACACTGTTCACCCAATTTTGGATGAACACACTCAGAAGTTAAAGTCCATCTTGTTTGTTTCATGTCAATTACAATTGTATGGCTATAAACTGAGGGCTCCATACCATTTACATTTATACAGGGCTATAAATGCTATGGCCCCCTCCCACCTCTAAGACACGTTAGTATCATATCAACCAAACTGAGCCCTGCGCTTGCAAAATGCAAAACACATATTGTCAGTCAAGCTGCATATGGAGACACTGCTAGGAGAAGTATGGTAACTTGAGCACTCTCCCTCCTACTTTATCATTATGACTGTAAGTCTGTTCATTGCTATTCACCCCCTGTCCCATTGTCTGTTTCATAGTGTGATGATGATACCCCTGAATCTGGCCTTTTCCATCTGCACCTGGACTGTCTGAGCCCAGCCTGGACTTGTGGGCTGCACCGCCCTCCCAGCTTGGGAGCTTCCTAGTCCTTGTTCTTCAGCCTGATTCCTGGATCTACAGCCTGGCCGTGGGAGCGGATTCCTTTCTCAAGGTGGGCCTCCCTGATTTCTCACTTTTTCCTAGTGGGTTTTTGAGTTGTTCTTTGCCAATGTCGGAGGGTCTAAGAAGGACACCTACTCCTAACACTAACGTTCTCCGTGACGACTGCTTTTGTGATTTAGGGCTATAAAAAAATAAATTTCATTTAAATGTAAAAAATGAAGCGAGTTTTGTGGATGTCTCAATATTGATTGTCCTGACTGTATAATTATAAATGTGTAGAACTAGCTTGTACCTTTTGTTGGTTGAGCATGAGGAAGGTGAAGCCTCTGCCACACAGTGCTGGCACGTGTTTGGGTTTATCTTTTAAAATGGCACTGAAGTCATATATGGCGGTTTTTCTTTGGCCCAAACAGGCGTAACACCGAGCTCTCTCCAGCAGCGACTCCGAGGCATCTTCATCTGCAACACGACACATCAAACAGAGAGAAGAACAACGGGGGTTGAGAGGTCGAGGTTGAGCACGTTCAGGAAGTCCCAGCAAGGTGACTTCATTCACAAAAGACAGTTACACAGAAAGAAAGAGCACGAAGAGAGAGAGAAAGAAACCAGAGAGAGAGCAGACAAACCAGAGAAAGCACAGAGAAAGAGAGAGAAACCAGAAAGACCAGAATCTTGATCTTGAGTCTATGATCTTAACCTACATTTTGAACAGAGCCTTTTTGTATTCACTCAAACTTCAAAAAAACATTTGTTGACCATTAAAACCGCTCATACTGCTTAGAATGAAGAGTAATGTTTGCCATACTGACCAGAAGCCATGATTCCGATGGACAGATAGGCCACTGCTTCTCTCATGTTCTCTTCTCTCAGACTCTCCAGGATTCGTTTGGCGACAAAGTGACAATGTTTCTGCAGCTGAGACCGATCTTTCTTATGGGCCACGGCCAGCAGGGGGCGCAAGCAGCTTGTGTCGCCGCACTGGATCAGCTTTTTCAACAACTGAAGAAATGAAGATAGTTGTGCACCGATTAAAGCTGCGAAACAGAACTTTCAAACCAAAAAAACAATAGAACTACGTACTAAAATCTGTCACTAGTACCTCGCTATAAAGCCTAGCGTACATCGACAGAGTAACAGGAGACAACTAGTTGCAAGGCGGCTTTTGGCAACTGAGAGTAGATGATGGGAGATGATCAGTTGCCGAAATCGGTCGATGTGAGCGCTCTTACAACTGGAGATAAACAGTCGATCTCCGGATTCAGTCAGTTGCCCGTGGTCTACTTTTCGGCAACAAGTTTTCCTCACATCCGGAGATATCACCCATAGACTGTATATATTAAGATATCACCTGATGTGCGCGCTCCTAATAGATCCATGGCGCGCTCCAACAACATAAGTGTATTGCGTGTATTGCGCGCCCTCTACAGTTTATGCCAGAAAACACTGTAGTTGAGGCCATTTGCTGTCGATGTAGGCGCTGTTATTCCCGAGAATGGCCTGCTTCTAGGAGTTTCCCGTTTTCGCCACATTGTCGATGTGTGCAGCAACTCATAGGCGACAGATATAATCAGTTGCCAGTCCGAAGTATGCTAGGTAACAGTTTGGTTCTATAGTTTTCACATGCTTGTAATTTTGGTCTCTCTTCATCTTTAGATGAGCTTTTTCAAAGATAAAAGTGAAAGAAATGGTACAAAGCCCATTCAGTCCATCAGCTCTCAGCCTATAATGTCAGATAGTGACATACATGGCTCTTTCTGCCATGTATAATGTTTTCTATTCATATGAAAACAGCATGTGGTGGTGTGAGGGACTCCAATTTATTCACTTGTCGGTACAAAAAGCAGTATTTGATCAAATTCCACAATTTTATGGTAATTACCATTGGTTTTACTAAATAATATTCTGCTATGTAAAAGTGTGCTCTTCTTTATCACAAGTTCTACTACAAGTAATTCTGAAAATTTCCCCAAAATCCCCCCAAAGATCATTCACTGATTTGTATTAAGTTATTCATACGGGTTTTATCTTCAATGCATGCTAGAGCTGTTTAATATAAATTAAACACAGCTAAACTAAATGCTAACTGGTACAAGTAAATTGTGTGTTGCTATGGTAACCGGCACTTGGTCCATGCTGCTCTGAATCAGTCTAAGACCAGTCGAGGCATGTCATAAAAATAATTACATACTATAAACTACACATACACTACATATAGATAAAGATAAAGTCACAACAATTTGAAGACCAAAAACGTACAAAGGGAGTTCTTGTGTTAAAGCCCAGACCTGATTGGTGTCATAGAGAAAGCCCCGATGCAGTTGCAGCAGAGCCAGTCGGGCCAGGACTGGGGCTTTGGGGGATCCGGAGCCGATGGACAGCAGCAGACGATAGGCCTCCTCCACTCGGCCCAGCTGGTACAGAGAGTCTGCACTGAGGATCTGAGGGCCGTCTGAGGCAGGCTGCAGCTCAGAGAGAAGAGAAGCCAAGCACTGCACTCCTGCCGGGGTCCTGGGACAAACACACAAGGCTTCAAAGGTTAAGGTGAACTCTGTATTCTGTCCCCTGCCATTGACCAATTCAGTAATGTGACTTTGGACTAGCTGAGGTGGAGGATTTTTCTATTGTACATTTTTTTAGTGGTAAAGGAGACTGGAGTATCAAGGAAAAGCTATGCAGACACAGGGAGAACATGCAAACTCCACTTGCGGCCCACTTTAAATCCAGGACAAGAAGTGCATGGTTAAGGTGTATTCTTGAGATTTTGATTAAATTCATCCTTCAACAAGTTTTCTTCAGTCCTCTATACATGTCTCTGCTTATAAGATGTTTTAGACTGCTCCTTCTTACCTACCACTAAAAATAAACAGAGATTTAATTATAGAGGGTCTAATCCTAGGATCTATTTCCCTATTTATCTAGCTATCTATCTCTACTGTATCTATCTATTTATCTACGGGAGTCTCACAAAGCCTCACTTTACGATTACCAAAAATAGGCCGTGACGTCACAGCGAGAACACCCATCCAGACACACTATTCTAATGGGGGAAATGAGCAACTATTTCAGGCTTCACGATTCAACCCTCACCCTGACTTGTGCTTGTCCTTCTTGCTCGCCTCCTCCTCTGCCTCCTTCAACTTCTTTTCACTGACACAAGATGGCGACCGCTCTGTCCCAGTCGCCTCCAGCATCACCCTTCCTTGCTCCAGAAGCACTGTGAGCAGCAGTCCTCTGTAATTCCATGGCACCAGACTCCTCACGCACAACACGGTCTCTTGGGGATGCAATCTACAAGCCGTCATGTAGTCCAAGGCCGTCAGGTAGTTCAGACCACCGATCATTCTCAGCAAGCCTCTCCCACACAAAGCTCGCACACAACTGGATGGGTGCGGTGCATTGTGCTCAATTACGGCCTGAAAATCTTCCAAAGCTCCTTTCTGATTGTCAGAAAGTAGCCGAGCATATCCTCTCAAGACTTGCACAGTGTTTTGGTAACTTTGCTGCCCCTGTGCGCTTGCTAATTGGCTGCAAATTGACAAAGCTTCCTTATGTTCCCCTCGAAGCAATAGGCAATCAGCCAGACGAACTCTCAACTCTCTCCCACCTCCGTCTGGTTCAAGATAGCACAAAGTTTGTAAATTAGTTATCACTGGGTCTAGCAGCTCGACTCCTTCCGAGGATCTAAAATCTGATCGTAGAAGGATGCGTTCTTTGAAATCAGAGAGACCTTTTTCGGCTTGTTGCTGTAGGTGGCTTCTAGCTGCCATCCCAGTCCCCTGCTCGGTGAAAAAAGTCTGAAAATAGTTCCTTGCAGTTGCCGGATGTATTTTGAACGCTTCGCCTAAATCTCTACACGCATCCTGGATTTGTCCCACCACTGAGAAGCAGGCCGCGGCTCGGGCTGTTCGAAGTCTGGCCACTATTTCAACTCCCAATGAATTTCTGGAAAAAAATGTATCGATAATTGCTGAGTATGCGTCTATACTCTCTGCAAACTTTCGCTCAAAGAATAAATGTTGTGCTTTAAGTTCTTGCACTTCCAAATTGTCCGGCGATAACGCTAGCACAAACTCGGTTGCCAGCATTGCCAGGTCAGTGTTGAGATGTTCTATTTCATCCACTTCCTTTACGTTTGACAACAAAGAAAGTTGTGTTTGCGATATGATTTCTTTAAAAGTGTTGACTATTTTGTCCAAATGTTGATTCTGTCTGTTTTTAACCAACATTACAGCTTCTGATTTGTTTGTATGATATGCTTTGAGGTACAGTTTTAGCCCTGTCACTGCATGGCGGTCAGAAAACAAGCAAGCCAAAGCCCGGGTTAGCTCCAAAATTAGAACTGTCTGACCCTCAGGTGGACTGCTTTTCTTTCCTTCCAGTATCGAGGTGCAACGAGAAAATATTTCTTCACAGCTATGCCCTCCGTTTAGAAGCAGAGACTCCATTTTGAAAACAGTTGCTGAAATATTATTAGGGCAAAGTGTGGACAAGAACACAGCGACTAGACCTTTATTGAATCCCTCAGAGTCATTTTTGCTGTCTAACCAGTTCTCCAAAGTGGATATGACAGCCTCGAGATTGGGCAGTTTTCTCATATGGGTCACAGTGGGTCCAGCATGAGTCCTGAAAGCAGACATGTACAGAGATGAGGCTTTATCCAGCTCCCCCATGGATAATAACCTCTTTGCTTCTTCACAAAGGTCAGGAACATGGCCACCGTGACGAGGTGGAGAGGTCATGGTCAACTGAAGACATAGGCAGACCTAAAGGAAAGAATAAAGAACTATCAGCCTCTATTGTAATACACACATGACGCTCAATGTTTAGGATTTAGGATTGGATTTTATATTTAGTTAATTTAACTAATGACAGATATTACGTTTTCTGATGTATTACATCCATCTATAAGATTAGAACGCAAAAAAAAGATTGGGCTGGAGAAAATATGTAAACCAATTATGACACCCATCACATCCAGGAGCACAGGGACTGGCCTCCTGCTGGGACTCTGAGGAGCATAGGGACTGGCATCCCGCTGGTAGTCATGACTCATGGGGAGGCAGTGTTTTAGATACATATGCAGCTAAAATCTGGAACAGTCTTCCTGAAAATGACCTAAATCTAGGTTAAAAACAGTTTAGCCTTGCATACAACTGAAGGATTGTACTGTATCTTCACTCTCTTTAATCTACTGGTATTATTTATGACTTTGATGCCTTGTGTGATTATTGTTAATTTTTTTAAACGCTTTGAGTACCATTGTTAATTAATTGTGCTAACGCTATACAAATAAACTAGCATTGCCTTACTTTTAATATGTGCAGTAGCATTGATCTTGGTTTTCTGTATTTAAGCAGGACAAACTATGGAAATAAGACACAGGCATCTGCAAAGAGGCAACAGCTAGCTACATAGTTATGCTAGCTTCATAAGTTATAAATTAGGCTAGTTTCATACCAACCTGATCGGGAACTGGGGGAGCTTGAGTGAAAGCTGAAGTATCTCTTGACTTCTGTAGCGTGTTCTTGAGTGTTTGGTTTCACTCTGCCGAACTGTGGCCGGAACTATACTTTAAATCCACTATATTTGACTTCTGAAAACACAAAACAACTCCAGCCTCTTGTAACTCAACGCTTTAGTGCTCCGTCTCCATAGCAACAGGTGTCCCGCTCGCAGTTAGCAAACACGGACAAAAGGCTTCAACTTTCTCCTCCAGAAAGCGGCGAAAAGAGCTTGAAACGCAGTCCAACAACAATCATATAAATACACTGAATATAGGCTCTGTATAAAGTCTAAGGTTTACATAAGTCGCAATTACAGTATGTTTAGAAGTTAGCGTCAGTGCCGGACACCGCTGCCTTGTTACCAGGCAACGGAACGCTGGCACTGGCAGAGATGGACGATAAACACGTCAATAAATACATTAAACAACTATAGGTACATTGATAAATAAAATAAAAACTAATACTACATTAAACTGTCCTAATTAATAATAATACGTTGCTAAAAATCACAACAGAAAAACTTTGAATGCCATCAGGATCGTGTATTGTATGTACGCAGAGTAGCCACAAGAGAGCAGTGATTCTTTCATATTATGCGAATACTATGTACGTCATGTGTGATGTATTGAATACTAACTATCCACTTAGCTCTATGGAATGAATGAATAGTGCCAGATGCAGTGACACTGTATAATTACTGTGCATTATTTGTAAAACATCTCTTTTTGTCTTTGTCTTGCTCCATTGTCTTTGTTCATTGGCATCATCACTGTAATGTATGAAGTGTGCTATATCAAAAAAATATTAAATTTTCAAGTTAATGTGTGAATGTTAGCCAATGATTTGAAAAACAAATCAGAGTATAATTTTACCCAACAAGATAATTACTCTGCATTAAAACATATTTATTTATTAACACAAAAACAACAGAAAACTTTAAATATACATAATGTAGAAAAATAAAATCTCCAACCGTTCAACAGTAAAAACTCTCAAAATGAGATACAATAATTGATACAATCAAGAAACTCAATGTCTCAGTAAAGTTGGTGTGTAATCTACAGACCCCAAACAGCTGTATTCAGTCATCTGCCGCCCACACAACCATAACATTAACACACACAATTATCAGACTACTGCAACTCTCATTAAAACCAATAGAATTCTTTAAAAAAGCCCCAAAAATGTTTCGTTTTTTGACAGATGAATTAAAACTAAGAAATGAGTAAGGTTTTTTTTTTTTTTTTTTTTTTTTACCTTTTCCTGCTTTTACTAAGTGCTAAAACGAGTGAAGATAACTTGTAGCTCTAGTGTTAAGGGTAAAGGTACAGAATTAGTCAAAACAACAACATACCTGTTTATCACAGTTATGCATCTGAAAAATACTACATTCAATCAGTTCAACTACGTTCATGAGTTTTTGGTAATGACAAGTCAAGATAGAGCCTCCTCCGCAGCTGCTGCTCCAGAGATATGGTGAGGAACTCAGAGGAACTCAGTGTTTCTCTGGGGAAGACCCAACACACCCTGGAGGGAATGTCTCTAAGTCTGGCCTGGGAACTCCTCTAGATTTCCCCAATTTAAGATTCTGTTCACACTGCTGCATTTGTGAGGAGAAAGTTTAGATTAGGGGTCCAAGCTTTAGCTTAGGAGGGATCAACCAGGCTCTCACCCTAAAGGATTTAAAATTGACAAATGTGCTGAATAATTTTACCTTATACCTTAACCATTGAAAATACCCTTTTTGTAGACTAAAACATTATAATAGGTTGTTGAATGACAAAACTGCAAAACAATCTCAAAAATTCAAGGCAGAGATGGCTCAAATAAAAATTTTAATCTAGATGCATAAATGTAATGTAATAAAACTGCTTGTCCAAAAAACACATTTTGTTTTGAGGAGTTGATTACTTCAACATGAGGGCTTTCTCTCGTCTGCCTGAGAGGATAGTTCATAATTTTGTTCTGATATGCAGTGGTAGCTCTCCTGGAGAAAAAGGTTGGAGACCCCTGGTTTAGATAGATGGACACAGAGATTTGTGAAGCATTTCCCCTCCTCCCAAAAAGAACCAGACTTGGTCCAGTTAAAGTGAACCAGACCTACATTACCTTGCACTTGTCATCAAAGCTGTTTTTGTGGATTGGTTTCACAGAGACAATTGTTTCCTTTATGTTTTAGCTTGTCTTATTTATGTATTGCAAATGGCAAATAAACGGATTCTGATGTCCTGTTGTCAGTCCTTTACAACTTGACATGCCAGACCATTTTTCAGTCGCTTTGGTGCTTTTCTCACATCACTGTTAACATTATCACAACAGTTAGAGCGTTTCTCAGAAGAACTATTATAAACTGTAAAACCTAGTGGATAATCTGCAAAAGCATGTCACTTGCTAAAAATGAAAAGTTGATTCCTCAGAAGCAACTTGTCATTGAAACGGTCTGTGTCATCAAAATAATAAGTCCTGACATCATTGTTTTTTTTTTTCATTTCAATTCAGGTTCATTTCACTACCTGAATTTGCTCAAGACAGCACTATACACTATTAATGTATTTAGTGAGGTAACGGAGTACAAGACACATGTATGTACGTATGTATTTCACATATTTACCTGCATATTCTCTTTGCAATTTACAAATGTAAACAATATAACATACATATTACTGTAAACTGAACATAAATTATTCCTGGACATCCACGCGTTCCTGTCTGTCTGGCCACATATTTTCATCTACATCACAGAAGATGTCTTCCATTGATGGCAACACATTTTGACAACTCTTCAATAATTTTGTATGTAATGACTCAAGCGATTAAAAGAGGACTATTAGTTTTATAGGGAATGACTATTCAGCATTCATAAAAATGTATAAAAGTAACTGATTCATGTCCAAAAGCATTTGTAACGTGCTCAAATGATTAAGAAACTGCCACAATGATGTGTTCAAATGACTCAATGTTGAACTAATAGCTGTGAGAACTTTCATTCTAATTTGAGAAAAGCGTCAAAGCGACTGAAAACCAGATAACGTGCCAAGTCAATGTCTAGTCCAATTTGATGGCGCAAGAAGCAAATCACGTCCTTTTGTGTATCTTGGAACTGTTGGACTGGACTGGATGCTTATTAAATTCCAGGTAATTAAGCAATACAGTCTTGTTTACAATCTTGTCAGCTGTGACCAGCTGTAGACAAGAGGTGGCAAGGTGGTGGAGCTGTAGACAGTGGAGTTAAGTGTCTTGCCCAAGGACACAACGGCAGCAGACATAAGTGGGAATCGGTGGAGAAGGTGTCGAGGTGGGGTTGAACCCACGACCTTCAGGCCTAAAGGCCAATGCTCTACCAACTGAGCTACTGTTGCCCCAAGTATGTATCTATGTATCTCTATCTGTCACATTAGAAGAACCTTCCAAGCCTTGTGCTAGATTCCCTTTTTTTGCACTCAAGCTACATTAAATAAAACTGTGAAATTCATTGGTTGAAACATGAACATTATACTCTAGTTCCAGGGATTTGGCCCAAAACCTTGCAGAATTATCAAATCGTCACCTTTTTACTAATGCCCTGCTCTCCTAATTACACTCACCAATCTCCAGGATCTGATACTAACATTCGTGAACTTAAAAAATTCTTCCTGGAGAAGTTTTTGCACCAGTTACAACCTGCAGTCAGCAGTCTGCCGTCAGATTCACAGAGACGTCTCAAACTGTGGTTTCCAATGCATCTGTTCTAGACTCTCCCCAATCATCTGTGCACATCCTGCCAGCTCCATGTAGTGCAGCGCGGAGTAAACGTCCTCCATGTTGGCGCTCGGCTTCTGGCTCCAGAGTCTGAGCTGCTGATACTGTCTCTCTATGGAGCTCAAGCCCACGTCCACCTCCACTCGCTCCAGCTGCTGATCGGTCACCGACAGCAGCCGCATCAGCTCCTTCCAGCGTCGCAGAGGAATCTCCTTGATCACGGCGTACAAGACGATGGGGGGGAAAGACTCTGACAGGGTCTGCTCCGGGAATCCTGGAGAAGAGAGATGGAAAAGGTTTGAAAGATGACAAAAGATACCCTGCCATTGGTGACTCAAGTCTTTTAGAATAATGTATTTGTTGATGTTGGTATGGAGGGTGTATTTTTGCTGCTGAACACTTGAATTTCTTCTATGGGGATCAATAAATTTCTGTCTGTCTGTCTATCTATCTATGAAATAGATAGATTGAGTTGTGATGGAAGGAAGATGAAAAATAAAAAGTCTTGTTGAGGAATCCAATAATGATCTGGGAATACATTTGGTTTGAATTATCTATGGCGATAGTACACTCAATTAACTTTTGTCAGCTACAACATTATTCCCTCATCTTTTTAGATCCATCCGCGTGAATATCAATAACTTCTGGCACAAACATGTAACTCTGCCCCTTTTTGTCTAAAAGTTCCTGTCTCAGTCCTGTTATAGTATGATCTCATTGTACCACTATGACATCCCACTCAGAGCAGTTTTCTGTCAAAGTATTGCCCATAAATTATTTTGGTCAAGTAATCAAGGGCGGCACGGTGGCTGAGTGGATAGCACTCTCGCCTCTCAGCAAGAAGGTCCTGGGTTCGAATCCCTGTCGGACCAGGGCCTTTCTGAGTGGAGTTTGCATGTTCTCCCCGTGTCTGCGTAGGTTTCCTCCGGGTACTCCGGTTTCCCCTACCACTAAAAATATGTCCAATAGTTCAGGCATGCGCCTCCTGTTCTGGCCCCTCCCATCTCTGTGTGGAGTGAGAGACAAGTGCCCATAATTAACAATTGTAAACCGCTTTGAGACTCAGATCTGCAGTGAAAAGGCGGTATATAAATAAAGATTACTACTACTACTACTACTTCTCAAGGGAATCCATGTTCTTGACAAAAAGTGACATGTCAGTGGTTAAAGCTGGTCATTTTTTTATTGGGAAGATCAAAACAACCAATTCAACTTCTCTCTCTGGTGGCAGCACAGGGAGTTGGAGGCGGTAATAGTTTTTTCCCCATACATTTTCTACTTCAGATATTGTGTCACACTCTAGAGAGAGATCACACAGTAAATTGTCTAGTTATGGTTTTCAATGGTCAAAATGAATGCATAAAATGTCATAATGTATGACAGACCGAGAAGTGTTGAAGACTTAAAAAAGCAGGTGGAAAGGCCTTTATGTGTACAATCTGGACTTTAAAAGGTTATAACTTAAAAACTAAAATTACTTTCATAGATTGGAAAAAAAGATTTCAAACACAAACACATTGAAGAGATAGTATGGAAAAAATCAAAAATAAAGATTGACAAAAAAAGTGTAGCGACATTTTAAACGACCAAATCAGCCTCTTATTTGACCATTCTACTGTGACGCCAGTTACATAGACAATAAAATGTCCTCAGTCTGAAAAAGTAGAAGAAGAAATCCCACAAGATTTACATGGTTAACACAACATAAGTTAATCACTTGATATAAAAGCGAATCGTGAAAAAATAAAAAATGATTAATTAATTAAATTACCCCTGAAAAATATGTAACGGACGTGATGAGGACGGTCCTCTTTTCTCTAAAAATTAAACTTGAGAAAAATAAAAATCTGGTCTGTTTTTACATTTAATTAGTTGACAATATGAAAGTATCAGTTTGCATCTACTTTGTGTAAAAAAATAGAATCTCTGAATCAAATGTGGACATCTGAAAATACCTATCAAACTTCCACAAAGCCCATTCCGTCAAATCATCACGTCCGTTACATAAAATAAACAGGGCCAGTATAGGAAACTTGTCTAATGTATAAAACAGTTATGTTCTAGCAACTTCTAATGGACAGAGGAGGTATTTGGAAACATGAAAAAAATAAAATATCTTCGTCACACTTTTGTTCTCTTTATTATATTAAATATACATAAACACATATACATCAAGGCAAGCAGCGAACATCACTTTCGCGCTCCTTAGTGGGTTAAGTGTCTTGCCCAAGGACACAACGGCAGCAGAGGAAGTCGGTGGAGAAGGTCTCGTGGTGGGCTCAAACCCACAACCTTCGGGCTCAAAGGCCAATGCACACATTGTAAATGTCTCACGCTTCTGGTTGGAGGTGGATTTTGATGTTATCTCCAGAACTTTTTCAATTACCCTTGATACAGATCTGAGGAAGAGGTTTTGTTTCCAGTAAAAGGACAGTTTAACCACAGGGGGTTTCTAATGTAAGTGTTAAAAGCAACAAAAGGCTGACTGTGGGGTCTTATGGACAGGACTGAGTCAGACTGAAAGCATACCAGGGCCCTCGTTGACCTTATTTTGCAATATTATGGTTGATTTAAGTGGGTCAACTGCAGCCTACGGTTATTGTAAGGAGCCAGATAGCGAGCTAACCTGAGTCAAAAAAGGGAAAGAAATTATAAAAAAAATTGTCCACTCACCTTTGGCCCTCCGCGGGCGGTTATCCCTCTCTAAGCTTGGGTCCTCTACCAGAGGCCTGGGAGCTTGAGGGTTCTGCTCAGTATCTTTGCTGTTCCTAGCACTGCACATTTCTGGACCGAGATGTCCGAGGTTGTTCCAGGGATCCGCTGTAACTTCTCTTCTAGCTTCGGGGTCACTGCCCCGAGTGCACCGATCACCACGGGCACTACTGTCACCTTTACCCTCCAGGCCCTCTCCAGCTCCTCTCTGAGACCTTGGTATTTCTCAAGCTTTTCATGTTCTTTTTTCCGGATGTTACCATCGCTTGGAATTGCCACGTCCACCACTACGGCTGTCCTCTGCCCTTTGTCCACCACCACGATGTCAGGTTGGTCCATTACCATTCGGTCGGTCTGTATCTGGAAGTCCCACAGGATCTTTGCACACTCATTCTCCACCACCTTTGGAGGAGTTTCCCACTTAGACCTTGGGGTTTCCAGCCCATACTCTGCACAGATGTTTCTGTACACTATGCCAGCCACTTGGTTATGGCGTTCCATGTATGCCTTCCCTGCAGCATCTTGCACCCTGCAGTTATGTGTTGGATCGTCTCAGGTGCCTCTTTGCACAACCGACACCTTGGGTCTTGCCTGGTGTGGTATATCTGGGCCTCTATCGCTCTGGTGCTCAGGGCCTGCTCCTGTGCAGCCATGATGAGTGCCTCTGTGCTGTCCTGTAGGCCAGCCCTTTCTAGCCATTGGTAGGACTTCTTGAGATCAGCCACTTCTGTTATGCTCCGTGGTACATGCCGTGTAGGGGCTTGTTCTCCCATGATGGGCTCTCCTCCAGCACCTCCTCATCTCGCCACTGCCTGAGACATTCACTGAGTACGTCATCCGTTTTGGCCTTCTCCATGATGTAGTTATGGAGTTTGGATCTATACATACATATACATTGTATAGATCCAATATATATATATATATATATATATATATATATATATATACATTGTATAGATCCAATATATATATATATATATATACATATATATATATACATATATATAATGTCTGTTTGCATGCAACATTGTATTTATTCAAATGTAACTCAAAAAACATCAATCTAATTCAATCTTGAAGATGGTACACGATGTGGTCCCTGTCCTCTTGGTTCCTCCCCTCTGTGTGTTGTAAATAGTAGTAGTAGTAAATAATAGTTTTTTGTTGACTCAAATATTTAAAATACCGTTAATTTGTCTCCATATTCTAAATGTGATGTGTGATTATCTGATGTGAGGTCTTGCTGCTGTTTTCCAGTTTCTCATCAACAAACACAGATACACGAGTGAGGTCTCTGTGTGGGAACTCTCTGTGGCTTCATCAGATTACAGAAGAATTTGTTTTGCAGACTTTCAAAGATTAACACAACATAACAAGAAACAAACAAAACACAACCAGGGCCGGTCCTAGTCCCTGGACACATCGGGCAGAAAGGGGGCCCACTTTCAATCTCCTTCAAACTTGGACGATGTATAGAATTTGTACAAACAATGGAGCAAAATACAGTCTGTTCCCTGACTCTCAGGTCATCTGACATTTACCATTCATTCAACTACTTAAACAATTTAAAAATATATATATGTATATGTATATAACACACACACACACACGGTATATATATATATATATATATATATATATATATATATATATATATATATATATATATAATCTTTATTTATATACCGCCTTTCACAGACAATGGTCACAAAGCGGTTTACAATTTTTATTATTTTTTTGGGCATTTGTCCTCTCACTCCACACAGAGATGGGAGCGGGGTCGCCGAACAGGAGGCGCATGCCAGATCTATTGTACATATTTTTAGTTTATACAGTGTGTGTGTGTGTATATATATATATATATATATATATATATATATATATATATATATATATATATATACATATATGTTTTGTATTGAAGTAGTTGAATGACAAGTAAATGACAAATGTTTTTTAATGTATTTTTGTATTTTGTCATTATTATTTGCCTACGTTTTCTGTCATTTTCCTGTTTTGCAACATTTCCTTGATTTTTTTTTAACCTCTAAATTAAAAATAAAACCTAAAAAAAGAATTAATTCCTTATTGATTAATTCCTCAAATATGTAAATTAATAGAAAAACTCTGCTCTAGAAGAGATCTGCAAGGAGGAATGGGCCAAAATACCAGCAACACTGCGAAAACCTAGTGAAGACTTACAGAATGTCTTTGCCAACAAAGGGTGCGTGGAAAAGTATTGAGCGGGACTTTAGTTATTGACTAAATACTTATTTTCCAACATAATTTTAATTCAGTTCTTTCAAATTAAGACAATGTAATTTTCTGGATTTTTTTCTGTTGTTGCCTCTACATGTTGAGGTAGACATCATTTTAAGTGGGAGGATTTTTTTACCCAACGTTTTGTAAATGATTCTATAAATACATGTGTGAATGACAGCATGCATGCATCCTCCCACGGCCATATTGTTGTTTTACTTTGTCTTTTGCACATCCAAAACTATTTTTACTTTATAGTGTATTCTTGCACCTGAGCCAAGATGTGCCCACTGCCCTCTTTTCACTCTCTCTGCCTCCTGGGCCTTTGATGTGACTGCACTGTGATAGACCTTGAGTGAATATGAAACTCACTCAAAAGTAATTTCTTACTTTCGATCAATATTGAGATTTTACTTCAACCAAATATGTAATTTTGAGATACCAAGTTTTATGCAACATAATCTTGTGCAGAAAATGTTTAATCTCCAAAAGTCTTGTCATATTGTTCTTTTTCTTTTGATTTGTTCCAACCTACTCCCTATGGACCAATGGCTCCGATGTGTTTGTTATTATTGCATTTCCATTACTCAAACTCAACAATTCTGTAAAGTCAACTGCTGTTGTGATTTAGGGCTATAAACAAATACATTGAATGGACTTGGTACAAAAGCAGATAGTATAAAGAAGTATGATAATAATGTGTCTATATTAGATTATGCGATTAGTAGTTTGGGAGTCAAAAGCAAGTGCAGTTTGACCTCAAACTAAGTCAACTTTTTTACAGACTCTAAGCCCGTCCCTTTCAAATGAATGATCTGTGCTCACTGTCACAGGCTTAAAGGAGCAATATGCAAAAATCTGGCCAAAAGTGGTAATGCAACATCTCCCACGCTCCCTGACCTTATTATTATAGATCCATGTCCCTGACTCAGGTTGCCAGATATGCAGACAAATCCAGAAGACTTAGAGGTGGAGCTGCTTTTAGCCTTGGTTTTATTGTTTTTAATGGATTGATATTAAATCACTTTTGTGGAAGCTTTCCTTTCAACTGAGGACGTACTATTTTACTTAACATTACAATATATAGAGAAAATCTCATGGGAAGCCGTTGAGAATATAGCCTGCAGTGCCGCGTATGGCTTTTGAGCTAGCAATACCCTTTCCAGATGCTATAATACAATTGATCCAAGGCTATACCTGAAACTTGACATAATTTTGCCACTTCTACGTAAAAAAAATCAAAAATTAACTCCAAATAAATTATCCTTTTTAAACATTACCTCTGTTTTCCACTTGTGGGTTGTGAGTTGGATTCTCTGGAGGGGCAGGACCCATAATGTCTGATTTGGGAGTTTCCTCAAAGATGGTAAAGTTCTGGTGGGAGGAAAGGTTAATTTTGAGTTAATCCAGTGACATTTATTGATGATAAAAAGAACGCCACATGACACAAAGATAGACCAACATGTACGCACCAGTGTGGTCAGGCTTTGAAGATGATCTGTCGAGGGGAAAGATAAGTCAGTTTCCTGTTTCAGAAACATGTGCAGACTTTGCAGAGAACACACATTTTCTCTGTTTTTATCATTTTTTAATCTAGAAATGTTCAATTTTGTCTGTTTTACCGGTCTCAGTCTGGAGAGGGTCCTCCGCCTGCAGCTTGTCTCTGCTGCAGCAGTCGAGATGTGGATATTTTTTCCGTATTTTAAGGAAAAACACACCCAGGCAGAATGCAAAAAGAAGCAGGATGATCAGCAGAACCCAGAGCACATGGCTCACTCCTGCAGCTTCTGACGACAAATTATACAATACATAAATATGGTTCAAGCTGCAGAATACAATAGAATGTTGGAATTATGACAACATTTAAATTTACTGGACTCCAATGCTCTGCTATTACTGTATCACTCATTAAGAATGTCACAATTATTGTATGGAGAAACTGTTACATATCTCACTTTTACAGCCAAAAAAGGCCTTTAGGATTGTTTCTAACGTCCACTATAGACACTATTAAAATCTATTTCTCATAGAAATTAAATAACATTAGATGTTCACCATAGTTACACGCAAACAAAAAGGATGCCAAACATTTTAAATAATTTAAAATCCATGCGTATACTGTGGAGCTACACAGGGTCAGAGAGTCTGTGTGTGTGTGTCTGCGCATGTAAGTGTGTGTTTGTGTGTGTGTGTGTGTGTGTGTGTGTGTGTGTCTTCCCATGTTAGTTTGTGTGTGTATGAGCATGTTAAAAATGATTTTGTTCAAAAATTTTAAAGTGATGGGAGAGAGGTGTAGGGTCAGAGATTATTTTTGTCTCTTTGTGTGTGTGTGTGTGAGATGGATTTGGACCGATTTCAAACTGTGTGTTTCTGTGTATCTATTTTAGCTTTTACTCTTTATGACGTGACGTAGCTACTATAGCAACGCAAAAATAAACAGTGTAATCTCTGTGACACATGTTTAAATGAACAGATAGTGGGTTTTTTGGACTCACCGTGAATTCGAGCTGTATATCTGCTCTGTGTTGCAGCAGCAGCAGTAGTTTTGGTGTTTTCCAGTTTGCTTCCTGGTGTCGTGGGTTGTACAAGTTTGCATTTGGGGTTACAGTCCACGATCCTGGAAAAAAAATCCCCACAAAACTCATCAAGGTTCACTCTGACAGAGATTTACTCCTTGCATTTGACAGACTCAGTAATTATGCAGCTGTAATGGCCTCTTTTTAAATTGCATTTTTCAATATGCAATATATTGTATGTATGTATTTTATATTTTCTTTTAACTATGGACCACATTGTATTCTGTCCTTAATAAAGATTAATTAAAGTAAATAATAATCGAAATATTGTTTTTCCTCAATTCTTTGTTGCTGTCCCTTGTTGTTTTTGACACAGTTTTGAGGTAAATTAGGTCAATATTAAACCTATTTTAGTCTTGTTTTTCATGTATTTCCTTTATGTTGGAATGTTCAAAAGTCTATTCTACTGTATTTTCATTGCATTTTAGCTTTTTGTGATATTGAATACATCACTTATCTTGATGACTATTTACCCCCTAACGTTCAGCAGCCAATTATTGATTGCTTAGAATAACGACTCGGTACACCTTTAAAACGTTGCAGTCTGTAAATAAAAGTCTTATTAATATGAATGAAGTCGCAGGCGTTTTTGCGAGTTTTGACCCCAAAACCTGACAATGACGTTTGTTTTTCACAAGAACAATTTATTACATTTTAAGTTTTAATTTAATAGATTCATGTATGCAGTATGTATCTTGTTTTAGTATAGAGTCATTGTTCAGTCATCTTTCCAACTGTTTGGATATAGTAATAAAGTACATATACGGTAAATAAACGCCAATTTGGTGTTTTTGTTCACATCAAAAGCTTGACACGCTCACAATCAGTGTTGCTTTCATTATTGGTTGATTTAGCTAAAAAATCAGTGCTTGTTGCTGAAAACATATAATCATTGATCTTACCTGGAGCCTGGAGTCACCTCTGGGCCCCTGTCTGAGAGAAACAAGCACAGCAATGATGAATGAAACCATTATAATCTGTATAATCTTGTATATTCAAATTGCATGTGTGTATTTATGTGCATACTTTGACAGGAGGAGCATCTAGGTCGTTTCTCAACACACTCACGATTGGAGACAGAAGTGCATGGCGTCTGCTCCACTTTTTTAGCTGGACACAGAAAACACGGGAAAATATGTGATCAATGAGATGTGGAGCCAGGTTAAAGGCTGTGTTGGCGAATTCAACCGTTCTGTAAAGTCCTCAGAGATAACTACTGTTGTGATTTAGGGCTTTACAAGAATACAATAAGTTAAATTGAATAACTGAAGGCTCAGATCAGGGGGAGGACATCACAGTGGTAAAAGACTTGTTCCCCCTGATGGTGGAGGGATGACAGCTTCTCATTCACTCGAAGGATTAGAGAGAGAGAGAGAGAGATAGAGAGACAGACAGACAGACAGATGTAATGAGCTTCTCCATTCTCTGCGCATGTTAGAGTATGTTAACAATTTCAAATCCCCAACTTTATTTTAGACCCATTTGTTGAGGCAGGCTCTCTCGCCTCACCTTACAAAGACCTATACAATGCAATAATGATAAAATATGAGGTAAAAACTGCTTGAATCCAGTGTTTTTTTAATCCTAATCTGAAAACATTCTGACTGTGTTAAAATAATATTTGCCAATGGGACAAAGCCATTAAGTCTTATTTCAAGAACTGTTGCCTTATTTTCTCATTCCAAGGGAGACATTTCTTGTATCTTTTTAGAACAAGATTATTTTGCTTTGACCCATTGGCAAATCTTGTTTCAGGCTGAAAGAATTTGCTCAAATTAAGACACATGTAAACAAATTTGAGTTATTTTTATTTTACATAATTTTTGCTATGTTTGTGTACTGTGCGCATTTTATTCTTCTGTACTTTGGTTTTTGTATTTTTCTTGTGTTTCTATTTTCTATGTTTCTATGTTTGCATACTTACTTACATACAGTACAAGCCCCAAACCCCATGAGGCACAACTCACTGTCATTCAAAAGTCTTCGAGTGAAATTGTGCGGTGTTCATATGCGAAAAAACACTTAAAACACAAAACTTTTGAGTCTGACCTCATTCTCACTTACGTCCACATTTGCTGCACTGGATACAACTCTTCTCTGTGTTGTTTAGGTTCATGTAGCGACCGTCGGGACATTCTTGACATACATTCCAAGTGCCATTAAGTCCACAACTTGACTTTTTGTGATAACCTATATGAAAAAATGAATGTAATATGTACTTTCCCTTCACGTCATGTACAATGTGGTCTTGTTGTTGTTACCGGGGGGACACTCTCCTGGTCGGCAACCCTGATCTAAAGCCACAGTTTTTGAGACAAACAGAAGAGTCAGAGCAAAAACCTGGAACAAAACAAAGACAAATGACACAAGAATCAGGGACCAAACCAAGGGCCAAGCAAAGGGCCAAACCAAGGGCCAAACCAAGGGCCGAAACAAAGGGCCAAACCAAGGGCCAAGCCAAGGGCCAAACCGCTGAAGCATTCAATTCAATATATTCCTGTATATCCCTAAATCACAACAGCTGTAAGATTAAGACTAAGAGAACAGTGGGAAAATGTCAGTGTTGCATCACCGGTTAGAGAACAGTAGGAATGAGGAGCACACAGCTCCAAGATAAACGAACAATCATTCTATTCTAAAATAAAATGAAATACAATCTCTAAGGAAACAAATCTAAAAGCTCTACCTTTGGCATAGTAAAGAAGAAAGTATAAAATACTGTATATTCTGGTGCAAGAAATATATACTGTAGTTACATGTTTACAAGTTATGATCATTGCCTTTACCTTTTTCTCAACATTTTCTTTTAATTTATTTTAGTATAGAATGAGCCCCTGTTCTGTGACATTTTACCACTGTGGGACAAATACAAGATCTCTAAATTTTAATTATATAAAAAATGGCAAATAACTCATACACTTACACTACTAAAGAGCAAAGCGTGGACTCACCAGGCTCATGATGCACGTTTTAAGTCATATGTGCTATAACAGTCTCCTCTTGCTCCTGCTGATCTGCATAGTAGTCCTGGGGTCCGCTGTTCTGGCATAAACATATACACATGAGACTTTAGGGTTGAAGAGAGTGGTGCAGTGGTTAGCATTAGAATTCGCGTGAAGCTCTGATACCAGAAACAGGAAACTAATGGTCCCTCCCAGAAGAAAAACGTCAAAGCTTGTGCTTACCCTTCAGCGTTTCCACTCACCCAATCTCTCCGCAGAGACACTTGAAGTATTAATAGATTTACAGAAAATGGCATAATGGCATATTACTGCAAGCGAGAGTGGCTCAGTTGGTAGAGCATTGGCCTTTGAGCCTAAAGGTCGTGGGTTTCGAGCCCACCATAAGACCTATACTTCACGACTCCCACTGATGTCTGCTGTTGTTGTGTCCTTGGGCAAGACACTTAACCCGACTTCGCCTGAAGCCCCCACTGAAAGATCTCAGCTCCTGTGGACTCACCACCTGCAGGAGGATCGGTGAGGGGTTGGTGCTCTGTGGACTGGGTGAACTCTGACTGCCACCTTCTGTGAACAATTCAATAAAAAGAAAACAGAGAGCAATTTCTTATTATTTCTTGTCTTACATGTCTTATATATTTCTGTTTCTTATTATTACTATTACTATTGTTAGCTTTTTAGAATGATCAATTTATTTGTTTTGTTTGTGTGGATGGATGTGTTTTTACTGGACACCTAAATTTCTCCTACGGGGATCAATAAAGTATTTAAACTAAATATCTTCCAAGAATATTGTTTTTGAACTGTGTAGAAGAGACTCTGGTCTCTCTCTGGTCACTCTCTGGTCACTCTCTGGTCACTCTCTGGTCACTCTCTGGTCTCTCTCTGGTCTCCCTCTGGTCTCCCTCTGGTCTCTCTCGCTGGTCTCTCTCGCTGGTCTCTCTCTCTGGTCTTTGGCAGATGTGTTGCTAAGTCAAACAGTTTTCTGATCTGATTGGTCAAATCTTACGGCTCATGTCTGGATGTCTGGAATAGTATCCTATTCAATCTGAACATTAAAGGGCTGAACATATTGTTGTGTGTGAGATAAAGTCCTGTGTGTGAGGATGTTTTAGTTACTGTGAATGAACGTAATAACCGTCACTCAATGAACAATCAAATAAAACAAAATCCAATACTAAATATACACACATATATATGTACATGGACACTCGTGAGAAGGGTGAGTGATTGATTTACTCACACAAGACTAAATCTTATCTTCCTCATTGACTATTATGCAAAAGGTTAAACTGTTGACGATGTGGAAGTGGTGTCATTTTCAGAGATTTCTATCGTCCTGAGAAAGTGTGATGTGTGACTACTTTAAAACCATTGACCATAGAAGGAGTATGTTTCATAGTGTCATAGTCTCCCCATTCTGATGACTTTACAATCATTTTATTTGTAGATTTTTAAAAATAAAACCTTTTGCAAAAGTATTGCAAAGATATTAAGCCTACGCAAGCTCAGAGTGACAGTCACACAAGTTTGATTTTCTATTTTGATACATTTAGACAAATTCTGTGGACAAACAGACTCAGAAACTATTTTGTCCCCAACACCATCAGGCTCTATAACAAAGCCACTTCAGGGAGGAGCAGGGGGGGAGGAGGGAGGGAGATGTCTTGAGAATTGTCTTGCAGTGCCTTGACTTCTCTCGTTTAATGATTTCAATGTATTTTATTGTCTTTTTAACTATGTTTTTATCTTTTAAGTCTATCCTGTGTTTGTTTGTTTGTATGATTGGGGTAATGGGGTCCGCACATAAAGAGCAGGTGGCCCCTTTTGGCTGTTCATTACAGTAAAAGTGGAAAGGGGAGCCATGGGGATGAGCTGCCAAAAAGAACCTTTTCAACTTAATTTAAAAAAATCTGATAGAGATTTGCGACTTCTCTCACTGCACACTTGTTCTAGTGTGCAAAGTAACATTCACTTTTAAACTGGAAGTGGTAAGAAAATTGGGGTCAAAGTGTTATTTTTTTTATTAATAAAAAATCTGAAAGCGTTTTCTACTACTTTCTCACTGTGATTACCTGTACAAGTGTACAACAATAGGCACCATGACATATTTTCACCTAGGCGCCTGATGGAATAGTCCTGGGGCCAAATAACATGACACAGAGGGCCGCGTTTGGCCCGTGGGCTTTAGTTTGGACATTAGTTTGGACTATTACACTGTAGTAATAATGAACTCATAGTTCATGAACACAAACACAGTGATGGTTCAGAGCGAACACACACAGTGTCTGCAGCGTTGTCTACTGTCTCTCATCAAAGTGCAGAGATAACAGTGGGCGCTGCTTGCGCAGGAAAAGCACATTATTGGAGAAAGTGCAGTTTGTCAGCGCCATTAGCGGTAGCATCGCTGCTACTGAGCGACACCCAGAAGTGAACAAAGCGACCCGGAAGCGCTGCTCCGTCTGGAAGCAGCAGGAGAAAGAAGAACATCAGCTTCATCAAAATTAGCTGCAAAATACATTCTGTGCTTCTAGTCAAAGGTACGTGTGCGTGTGGCGTGTGCGGACAGAGGGACGCTCTCTGCATGGTCTGTGTGGTTACTGCACAGATGTGGAGGAGGGAGAGCGGAACATTGTGCAGCTGCTGTTTCCCTAAAGTTGCAGAATGTGGATAAAAAGGCGAAAGTGGAACACGGATCCAGAGAGAGTCTGCAGCAGCACACGGTGTCCCGGCTGGAGCTGTCTCTGTGCTGTCTCTCTGTCTCTCTGTGTTCTGTCTCTGGCTGTATTTGTGGGGCATGGATGGTTGTTGTGGGAAGTGTCAGTTTTTTTAAGGGAGGCCGGGCTTTTCAAAGCCATAAACAATCCTTGCGCCTGTGACATGATAAACAGCTTTGTCTCTGCTCTGGCTCCTGCTCCAGCTTCAGGAAGAGTTCAGGGCGAAGCTTTGAGCTCTGCAGAATATGGCGTCCCCGCCTTATAAAAATAAGGCTGCCATTTTTGTTTCTCTTTTGTCTGAGAATGTTTAAGAGTCTGAGGAGAGAGAGTCTGGGACGCGCCGCCCGCAGACCGGACACATGCCCAAAGTGCAACTCTGAAGTCTGCTCCATGATCGCGTTACCGTTACACTCCTGTTACAGACATGTGACGTCAAAGGAGAGTCAGCACGAGACAAAGAAGACTGTGATTATGTTTCAACATTTATCATCATTGTTTTTTAGGATTATTGTTTTTTATGACTACTGATTCAGTATTATTACTAATATTATTTGTTGTTAATAATGATAGTATCATTTTTTATTACAAATCACATCATGGAAAGACAAGTTTATTTGTATAGCACAGTTCATACAAAAGCAAATCTGATTGCTTAACAAAACAAGAGGCATTCAAATCATAAATAATCACAGTACACTAAAAGGAGTGAAGTTTCAATCCTTTAGTTGTATGCACAGCTAAACAGAACTGTTTTAAAACCTGGATTTGAACATTTTCAGAGAAGAAGGCTGTCTCACATTTTCAGGCAGACTGGCCCAGGTTTTAGCTGCATGAATCTGAAATTTTGCCTCCCCATGTTCTATCTTACAGTCCCAGCAGGAGTCCCAGCAGGAGGCCAGTCCCTGCGCTCTGCTTTTAAATGTCACAAATGTACTTTGGTACAAGGCCATGGAGAGACTTGTGTGTACAGATACAGAGCTGCTTTCATGTCTATTCTCTGAGCCACAGGAAGCAGAGACCTGAGAATGTGAGGGTATTTCCTGGTTCTAGTCAGGACTCGAGCTGCAGCGTTTTGAATATACTGCTTTATCTGCTCTTTACTCTCTCCATATGCATGCACAAAGAACCATAACATTGTTCTGTAACAATGTTTTTCTTAGGTTGAAAATATTGAATATGGTGCACTATTTTCTCTAGTCTCGGTGTAGGTCTTATTACATTATAGGCTGGACTCCTGCCCTCACCTGCTGAATCATATATTTAATATTTTATTGTGTATAGTGGTACACTGCAACATTTTCTAATTTGGCAACATTTATCTTAACACAAGAAATGTCTCCCTTGGAATAAGGAAATAAAGAAACAATTCTTAATGAAAGACTAAATGGCTTTGTCCCATCTTGTTTTAACACAGTCAGAATGTGCTCAGATTAAGATAAAAAACAAACAAAAAACACTTTATTCAAGCATTTATTACCTATATTTTAACACTTTTTGCAGTGTAACATGTTATTACTGTGTTCTTCTCTAGAGAAACTCGACCCTGTGTGGTCCTCCTTCAGGATGGCAGAACCTCGGTTCAATAACCCGTACTTCTGGCCTCCGCCGCCCTCCATGCCCGGACAGGTACGTCTGTATCCACCACAGTCTGTTCTAAGCCCAGTGTGAATGAGCCTCCACCAGTTTCCTCAGCTCACTGTGGTCCTGCAGGATCTTGAACCATTAGACCCCGGCAGAGCATTGTGACGAATGCAGAGTGGGAAATAAAAATGTGAGATTATGAGATGAAATCCCTTTGAGGTCTAGATCCTGAAGGTGGGAGCTAAAAGAAGGGTTGAAAAGCTGGTCTGACTGATGAGGAGGTGGTGAGTGCACCGATCACCACAGGCACTACTGTCACTTTTACGATCCAGGCCCTCTCCAGCTCCTCTCTGAGCCCTTGGTATTTCTCAGGCTTTTTGTGTTATTTTTCCCGATGTAACCAAAGCTTGGAATTGCCACGTCCACCACCACGGCTTTCTTCTGCCCTTTGTCCACCACCTTTAATGTCAGGTTCCCCATTACCATTCGGTCGGTCTATATCTGGAAGTCCCACAGGATCTTGGCACGCTCATTCTCAACCACCTTTTGGAGGAGTTTCCTATTTAGACTTTGGGGTTTCCAGCCCATACTCTGCACAGATGTTTCTTTACACTATGCCAGCCTCTTATGGAGTTATGGTTATGGCGTTCCATGTAGACCTTCCCTGCCAGCATCTTGCACCCTGCAGTTATGTTTTGGATCGTCTCAGGTCCCCCTTTGCACAACCGACACCTTGGATCCTGTAGGCCAGCCCTTTCTAGCCATTGGTAGGACTTCTTGAGATCACCCACTAAATGTCCATAAATGTCCCGGCTCATCACTGTTCTTAGACCCTCCTGCATCGGCAACGAACCACTCAAAAACCCAGTAGAAAAGTGTATATCAATGAACAAACTACAGCTGAATTCAAATTTATGACAAACAAAGTAGGAGAGAGGACAGGATAGTGCTTACCATACTTGTCATACATTCTCTTGTCATGGTTTACACTGCAAATAGCAGTGAACTTGAAAAATAAGGGAAAATTGGATAGATATGGCTAAATATTTTTTTTTACTTTGAGCACATTTTGACTGCCTTAAATTCAGATTCAGATTCAGATTCAGATTCATTTATTGCCATTTGCAGTAACACTACATTGGAATACGTTTGTAAAAGTTTCCAGTGTGCACAGGACAAGTACAGACACAAAACAACATTAAAAGACAATGTTAAAATGAGATCTGTGAATGGGATGATCTTGTTTTAAAAAGATTGAAGAAATGTGTCCCTTGTAAGGAGAAAATAAAGCAAAAGTTAATGAAATAACAATAAATTTCTTTGATCCTGTGGACTCACCACCTACAGCAGGATTAGTGGGGGGCTGGTGCTCTGTTAATGTTGGTGCAGCTCTGACTGCAGCCCCCCAACCCAGAAATGGATTAAGAGATAGAAAGATGGATGGATGGGCTTTGTCCCATTGGCAAATATTGTTTTGAGACAGTCAGAATGTGCTCAAATTAAGATAAAAAACACTTTATTCAAGCAGTTATTACCTCATATTTTATAATTTTTGCAGTGTCCTTTAAAATGAATAAAAAATTGTGGTATTTTTCTTGAACCTGGACACTGGTCTCTGTTTCCTTTGAGCATGACGCCTTGACTCTTGCAGCTGGACAACCTGGTGCTCATAAACAAGATCAAGGAGCAGCTGATGGGAGAGAAGATCCGTCCTCTGCACCTGCCCCCCACCTCCTCACCGTCCCAGCAGCCGCTCCTCCTGCAGGCCTCTTCCTCTCCTGAAGGGGGCGCTCCACATGGCCTCAGTGTCCCCAAGCCTCAGGCTCCGCAGCAGCAGCAGTCAGTGCCAGGTCATCACACACAGGGAACGGGACCCCCGGATATTGCCCTCCACGCCAGACCTGCCGCCAGCTCTGGATCAGGTAAAGAAATGTGTAACTATATTCAGTCATATTTTTTACCTCCAAATATTATTCATGAAATAATCGTAAGTAAGTAAGAAATATTTATTTTTAAAGCACCTTTCACAGACCAGCAGTGATGGAAATAACGGCGTTACTTTTTTCAGTAACGAGTAATCTAACTAATTACTTTGACTGTAACTATAACGGCGTTATCATTTCCGACATCCCGTTACTGCGCGTTACTCAAGACGCACAATGAACTTCTCTTTTTACTTCGTGATAGGACTCGTGCGCGTGTTGTCATGAGAGAAGGGAGGATGAGAAAACCTCTCAGCAATTATTGGCTGATGTAAAACATATTTCCTTTACAATCTACATGTCTACAGTTGAGAGGATGGCTCATAAATTGTGTTTTTTAAACAAATATGGGTCTTAATCGCGCTCAACCACGGCTTGTATCACCGTGAGGCCAGCCTCAGAGGAGCGCATGTGAGCGCAGAAGTCGGCTGCATACAATTCCATCGATAAGCTCCTTTCTCTTCCTGGTTTATCTGCTGAGGGCAGCAACAGGTTTGGCTAACATACATATAACACATTTTAAGATAATTTAAAATGCACTTAGGGTAATTTTTTCAATTACTATAGGAATGATAAGAAAGAGAGGTGAAGTGTAAGACGGTTGATTTTAGAAATTGGATGCACCCGGCTGCAGCTAGCAAAACAGAGGAGTTTATGGAGGACACACACGTTTTGTTATACTTTTTAAAACTAATTTCCAAATGGAGGATTACATATCTACGCTCAAACTATTATCTGGACTTAAACACGGAACTGGTCTGAATCGAAGTGGCCTGTGCAGGTCATTTATAAGGTAAGACCCATAACTCATAGTTTTGCGTTTTGTATGAACAAACAATACGGGCATGAAACATATTTTGCTGTAGCCAAACAAATTGTGAATAAGCCGCTTTCTAGGTCCAGTTGATTTATATGATATATATGTTCATCTGATTGGGCTGAAGTCAGTGCTTCACCGGTGTTTCCACATTCACAGTGGCGGGTGTTTGTGTTTAGTGCTTACAGCACAGAGAGAGATGAAGAGTGAACAGGACTCCTGCAGCAAAACAGCCTTTTCTAGATGGAAATATTGGCAATATTTCAAACTCACTGAGGTTAAAGGTAAAAATGCGTAAGTCGAGTGCACATTATGTTCCAGAACAAAACGAAAAAGTAACGCAATAGTTACTTTTACTGGTAACTAGTTACTTTTATAGTGGAGTAACTAACTATAACTTTTTCAAAGTAACGTGCCCAACACTGCAGACCAGAGTCACAAAGCGCTTTAGAATTGTGGGAATTTGTCTCCCACTCCACACTTAGAGCGAGAGGCGCATGCCAGAACTATTGTTCATGTTTTTAGTGGCAGGGGTAACCGGAGGCACCTGGAGGAAACTTACACAGACACGGGAAAGAACACGCAAACTCCACTCAGAAAGGCCCTGTTCTTTCTCTTTACAACTACCACACTTTCTGGACCACAAGGCGCACCTGTATATAAGCTGCACCACCTAAATCGGAATAGAAAGTACATTATATCCATATATAGGCCGCACCTGAATATAAGCTGGTTTTCATGTTGTAATGTAGCAGAGAGACGCTGTTAGCTTCCATGACTCATTCACCTCCAACTTTTCCGTCAATAAACCTAGATGAAGTAAAACAAATAAGACCACAACTCTAACACAATAAAAACATATTAGCTGCATTGCCATATAAGACGCAGGGTTCAAAGACATAGAAAAAAGTAGTGGTTTACTGTCCAGCAAGTGCGACGCTGCCAAGGAATATTATACATTTGAAGATATGATGGTATTAATGGTATTAGAAAGGCTTACAAGTTGCCCTTTACCAAGTAGTTTTTTGAAAATAATAATTTAGTGCCTGACAAAAACAGAAGGTTGAGGATGATGAGCTTCAGTCACACAGAAGGAGCTTGGAGTAGAGCCACGCCGAGAGGAACCAGTTGATGGGGCTGGGGTAGGGCTCAAACATAAACAATGAAAATGTAGCTTATCAGTTTTCTAATAACTTCACTTACAGTGACAATGCACCTGCATGGCAAAGGAGGGCCATAGCAAATATATCAATCATATTAAACACATGCATTATGTACATGAAATATCACATTTTTAAAACTAATCATTACTCTAAATACAATGGTTATAACAGAGAAAGTCTGTTACAAAAGCCTCCTCCTTGGGTTTGGGTACAACGCTCGGTCCAGCTGGTGGCGCTAATACTAACTTCAGCGAGATTCCGTTTCTCTTCCTGTTTACATTCTGCTACTGTAGCTAACAGCTTGAGCATGGAACATGTTGTTTGTATCAGAGCAATGTGAACTAGTGTGAGAAGTGTATTTCTCCAAAGTGCAGCTGCTCAGTGGAACATGTGGGTGTGTGGGTGCGCGGGTGCGCCGCGGACACAGGTGCGCGCTGAGAAATGAATGAATGAGAATGAAAGAATGAAAAGTGTGGCGTACGAGCAGAGTGACCGGAGCCAGGCAGGATACAAGTGTGTGTTGGTGTGTTCTGGCAATTAGATAAAGACTGGTTCTTTAATGTTTGAAGTGTTATTGCAATCACTGTGAGAGCGAGGGTCAGAACTGTTAGCATTAGGGAGCTTTCAAAATGACTGCCCGCGGTTAGCGTGTTAGCACTCTAGCTCGGACCGCGCTGGAGATAAAAAAAAAATCGATTTTCATTAAAAGAAATTGCCCTCAACGTCAAATTCGACTTAATAATTAAAATCGATTTATCGCCCAGCCCTAGGCTAGGGTATCCAACTCTAATCTAGTACAGTATAATTCCTGACTTCTACCACTAGTTGCAGTGTTGACATAAATTTTTTTTCTTTCTTTCTATGTGTTCCCATAAACAAGTGGTAAAGTTTTAGCAAAATATACCAACCAATTCCTGGCAAAATAGCATTCCTTCATATTTTCATACGACAAGGTTTTGGGGCTAAAATAATAGTGTTATAAGTGTGTTGTCTCTCGCAGATCTTAGTATGGATGATAAGTCTGCGGTGAAGGCCAAAGGACTGTGGGAGGACTGGCACATGAGGCAGCTGAGCGAGCAGACGGCACGACTCAATCATCGAGCAGGTACCGGCCTCACACAGACACAGACCACTGCTCATGCTGCTGCTGAGGCTGTAGATCCAGGACTGAGACTGTAGATCAGGGCCTGAGGCTTTAGATCCAGGACTGAGGTTCTAGATCCAGGACTGAGGCTCTAGATCCAGGACTGAAGCTGTAGATCCTGGACTGAGGCTGTAGATCCAGGACTGAGGCTGTAGATCCAGGACTGAGGCTCTATATCCAGGACTGAAGCTGTAGATCCAGGACTGAGACTGTAGATCAGGGCCTGAGGCTTTAGATCCAGGACTGAGGTTCTAGATCCAGGACTGAGGCTCTAGATCCAGGACTGAAGCTGTAGATCCTGGACTGAGGCTGTAGATCCAGGACTGAGGCTGTAGATCCAGGACTGAGGCTGTAGATCCAGGACTGAGGCGCTATATCCAGGACTGAAGCTGTAGATCCAGGACTAAAGCTGTAGATCCAGGACTGACGCTGTAGATCCAGGACTGAAGTTGTAGATCCAAGACTGAAGCTGTAGATCCAGGACTGAAGCTGTAGATCCAGGACTAAAGCTGTAGATCCGGGATTGAGGCTGTAGATCCGGGACTGAGGCTCTAGATCCAGGACTAAGGCTGTAGATCCAGGACTGAGGCTGTAGATCCAGGACTGAAGCTGTAGATCCAGGACTGAGGCTCTAGATCCAGGACTGAAGCTGTAGATCCAGGACTGAAGCTGTAGATCCAGGACTGAGGCTCTAGATCCAAGACTGAAGCTGTAGATCCAGGACTGAAGCTGTAGATCCAGGACTGAAGCTGTAGATCCAGGACTAAAGCTGTAGATCCAGGACTGAGGCTATAGATCCAGGACTGAGGCTGAGGCTCTTTTCTCCTCAGGTTTAGTTCCTTCCTCGAGAACAGACACCCACAGTTCCGACATGCTCACCTCCACCACCTCCAGCTCCCAGAACAGACTTATCAGTGCCCCCTCTGTCAACATCCTGTCAGGGCTGACCAGCGGGATGGACCCCATGAAGACAGGCGGGCTGGCCGGCCTGCTGGGACCTCCCCCCAAAGCTCAGCGCGGACGGAAGAAGATCAAGGCTGAGAACGGACCTCTGCTAGTGGTGCCCTACCCCCTGCTCAGCGACCAGGGCTGCGTCACTGTGGCCCCGAAAGAGGGACGCACATACAGGTGGGGGTTCTATAGAGGATTAGATAGAGAGAAAAATAGATAAAGATAGATTAATATAGAGAGAGATGTATACAAAGAAAGATAGATAATACTAATAATAATAATGAATCCGTTTGATATAGTGCTTCCTCATTATAGGCAATGTGGGAGAAGTGTCTTGCCTAAGGACACAACAGCAGTTTGGCACTTGTTTTTGGCACGTGTTCCCATAGGTACCCATCACAATACTAACCAGGCACTTCCCTGCTTAGCTTCTTTACATACTTTTTAGAGAAAAGTATGTTGTAATCTCCTAAAAGTAGGTTTATCTATTACTGTGATGTCAAAGTCAAATACATCATTTGCTTCAAGCCGAGGGCCGGACTGGTTCAATGTTTATTAAAACATATTAACATTATTGCATATAACCTATTGAACCAAGACCTAACACAGTGCACCATATTTTAATGATTCTATGATTTTATGAATTTCATATTTTTATATTTTTGTATGGGTCTGACAGTCATTTCAAGTGAAAACACTTTCCAACAGGCTCACAGACAAAAACAACCTTCCTTCAAAGAGAAAACACGTCCTGAACATTAAATGCATAATCCAATATTTTTGTGGGCTCTGTGTGAGCCAGTTCTAATACTAATCATCAAACATCATCTCGGGGGGCCAAGATAATTCATTTACGGGCCGCATCTGGCGGCCTGCAAAGTTTAGAATATGTTTTGGCCCGTTACCTCTAAGTAAATTAGCAGTGAAGAAAAACACATATTATTTAGCAATCTGTATATCTGTCATTCCGAGTCATTTCACTACATGTGATTGACTGTGTTCATAACATTGTATGTGAAAATAAATATCTATCCATTTATCTCTGCTCTAACCCCACCTCCTCCTGTGGCAGATGTAAAGTGTGCCCGCTCACCTTCCTGTCCAAGTCGGAGATGCAGCTTCACTCCAAGTCCCACACAGAAGCCAAGCCTCACAAGTGTCCGCACTGCTCCAAGACTTTCGCCAATGCCTCGTACCTGTCCCAGCACCTGCGCATTCACCTGGGCATCAAACCGTACCACTGCTCCTACTGCGAGAACTCCTTCAGACAGCTGTCGCATTTGCAGCAGCACACCAGGTCACTACACTCCTCACATACTTAAAATAAATGTCTTTTTTGCTAGAATGTACTTTTATGGCCTAAATTTTGTCCTCGGGATGCTGGACACTTATGGTATTAGTCCTAGGCCATCAAATGAGCAGATCATGTGATATATTCCCAAACACACCACCCGGGCAACGAAGGAGTGGCTTTGTAAGAAGCATTTCAAGGTCCTGGAGTGCCTAGCCAGTCTCCAGATCTCTACCCTATAGAAATTCTTTGGAGGTAGTTGAAAGTCCTTGTTGCCCATCGTCAGTCCCAAAACATCATTGCTCTAGAGGAGATCTGCATGAAGGAATGGGCCAAAATACTAGCAACAGTGTGTGAAAACTTGGTTAAGAATTACAGAAAATGTTTGTCTCTCACTGTTGTGTTGGCCTACAGGCCAAACAGCAGTGCAGAGTACTCTGCCTTCTTGGAGTCCCTGGGAGGGGTACTGCAGTGTTTCCCACACATAGACTAATCTGTGGCGCACCGCCACAGATTAGAGACCGCCCGCCACAAATTGCGTTTCGTATTATTATATATATATATTTTTTGTTACGCTATTTAAAACATGCATCGTCTAGTGCCGCCGCAGCGGTCAATTTGACAGCGGGGAGGGGGGTTTAAAATGTGGCGGCCCTTCGTAACTCTCACTCAAGCTACGCGTCTCTCCCACATACAGAGACCTACACACACACACAGCCCCTCCCCTTCGTGCACACCGCGTGTCTCCGTCTCCATCAGCTTTTTTTGCAACAAGTAGGTTTATACAGCGTTAACAGTATTTATAGTGTAATATACAGCGTGTGAATAATGTTGATATTTTGATCAGTCCAATAAAGCTGTATTTGACCAATTAACGATGTCATTGTTAATTTTTGCCGGCCGACCTGCACCCCCCTGCGATATGTCCATGCTGTATTTAGTCTCTCTTTCCTGTGTCTCCAGAATCCACACTGGTGATCGGCCGTACAAATGTGCTCATCCTGGCTGCGAAAAGGCCTTCACTCAGCTCTCCAACCTCCAGGTCAGTCCTGTGTCCATCTGAGAGAAAGGAACATTAAATACAATATACACTTTGATTTAATGTAGTGTAAAGACCCAACTCAGCTTGGGTAAGGGAGTTAACATGAAAAACAAGATTTTAAATGGCAAACCAAGTATTTTAATAACAGGAATGTAAATGATAAGTTAACATAAACACACTATACGTAAGGACAGACTTGAACGAGAACAGAAATAAACCCTAAACCTACTGCTGTGTCAACAAAAGCGAAGTGTCAAAAACAAAACCTCAAAGTGACAACTAAAAAGAGACAGACCAAATTAAAACCAAGAATCCATAAGAACAATGGGCCTCATTCACGAATAACTTCGTAAGAAACTACTCAACTTTCTTCTCAAGTTGTCCTTAAGTAGATTTCTAAGAAGTCCCCACGTGGGATTCATCAACGCACTCGTAAGCCGCTGAATTGTTCGCAGCTGTTCTCTCAGATTGATGAATCCCATTTCCTCGTAAGTACAGCGCGCGTGCCAGGTGCTTCATTAGCATAGGTACTTAGCATAAGTAACCGCCCACTAATGCCCATATAAGGGGATGCAGGGCCGTGTGCAGACGGAAACAGCAACAGGCCTAAAGCAAAGAGTTACACGGAGCAAAAGAGTCACCCTTTTTTCTTCTTTTACCAGACTGAGAATAAAGTTATAAAATGTTGACTTAAAAGTCGAAATATTATGATAATAAAGTCGAACTAGCAAAATTATGAGATTAATCTAAGAATATGATGAGATTAATCTCAAAATGTTATGAGCTTAATTTAAAAATATATTATGTATTATTTTAAAGATGAATCTCAAAATGTTTTGAGATTAATCTCAAAATATTTTGGACCCTGGGAGGAGATCCAGCGCGGACCAGCGCTGAGACCAATGCAGACCCGAGGAGAGACTGGAGTGACCAGCACACAGAAACCAGCGCGGACCTATAGGAGAGACCGCATAGACTGTAGTGACCTGACTGGAGAGACCGGTGCGCAGAGACCAGCGCGGACCGAAGAGAGACCGCATAGACCAGACTTAAGAGACCAGCGCGGACCCGTATGGAGAGACCAGTGCAGACCCGTCTAGAGCCATGGGAGAGACCAGTGCAGACCCGTCTAGATCCATGGGAGAGACCAGTGCAGACCCGTCTAGATCCATGGGAGAGACCAGTGCAGACCAGTATAGATCCATGGGAGAGACCAGCGCAGAGACTCAGCGCGGACCCAGTAACCTCCTGCAGCAGCAGTATATATGCCGTTGTTCTGTGGCCCGTGGATAAAGAAATGCCCCCTATAAATAGGAAGGGGTCACTAATACACGGCAAGATTTCCAATGTATTTGATAAAGCGTTGGCACATTTCATTTCAAAATGAATTAAAAAGTAGGCCAGATCTGCAGTGAAAAAGGCGGTATATAAATAAAGATTACTAATAAAGATTACTACAAATAAATAAATACATACATCGATATGACGGAAATATCACTGGAATGTTGTATTTTTATTCAACTTCACCAAAGAGGACAACCCCGGCGTGTGAACATGTCGGCACTGAATGCGTACGAGTGCTCCTGAGGACTCGTAGGATTTGTACTTGCCCAAGAGAAATTCTGGTTACAAGAAATATTCGTGAATGCCACTTTCTTCGTAAAAACCGCGTAAGTAGGATTTACGTACAAATCTGTTCCTAAGAACCGTTCGTGAATGAGGCCCAATGTCTATTAAGTCATCGTCACCCCTTGTAACAATGACAGACATTTCCATGCGGCAACATGGCACACCAGCCACACTCAGACTGGCACCCCCGAAGAGGTATGGAGTGTCAGGTCTCTGGAAGGCAGGAGGCACAGGGACTCGCCTCCTGCTGGGGCTCTGGGGAGCACAGGGACTGGCCTGCTGGAACTATGAGGAGCACAGGGACTAAACATGGGGAGATTAGATGTACATACTGAATGTCCATGTTTTGCTGCTGTAACTGCTTAGCTTCAAGATTCCTCACTGGCAAACGCAACATCATCCTAACGGTTGCAATGTAAACCCTGAGAAGTTGTAACACACAATATACACGCTTACAGCTATGCATGATATGATTGAAACATATGAATGGTGCTACACAAATAAACTTTCTTGTACCTGTCCCTCCCTCTCTGCTGCAGTCTCACCAGCGGCAGCACAACAAAGACAAACCGTACAAATGTCCAAACTGTTACCGTGCCTACGCAGACTCGGCCTCGCTGCAGATCCACCTCTCTGCTCACGCCATCAAGAACGCCAAGGCCTACTGCTGCAGCATGTGCGGCCGCGCCTACACCTCAGTGAGTTATGCGCTCTTTATCAGTGATGGAAACGCTCAATGCTATGTATTGTAGGCCTAAATCAGGGTTATCTTGGAAGGACTTTACAAAGCCGTCAATTCGCCAACACACATAATAGAATCAAACACATAGAACCACTGGTCCATAAGAGGCAGATCACCAATGTCCAGAAATGTTGAAGTCCATAAAGGTAGTTAAATCTTGAGTATCCTGGATCATCTTCACTGTCCTTAGATATATAACTATCATATAGCTAAGACATTTGTGCAATAACTTAAACTAAAATCAGAATGTGCAATATACAACCACTATCTCTTTAATGAGTCACATTGTCCCAGACCCTCATGCTGCGAATTGTATTTATACACATGTATAAATACAAATATAAATTTCTTGCTCTAGAATATACACTGGGCGACAGTGGCTCAGTTGGTAGACAAACACTGATGTCTGCTGTCGTTGTGTCCTTGGGCACGTCACTAAACCCTGCTTTGCCTGAAGCCCCCGCTGAAAGATCAAGGCTCCTGTGGACTCACCATCTGCAAGAGGATCAGTGAGGGGCTGGTGCTAAGTGTACTGGGTGCAGCTCTGACTGCCACCCCCGATCCAGAAATGGAAGAAGGGGAAGAAGATGGATGGATGGATGGACAATACACTATTTTGCTCTTGCTTCTTTATTACACTAAAGCTAGAGATTTTATACTAGTTGCTTCTTAATGCTTGAGTTCGAGATTCTATTATATTTTATCTTCGTATAGAGTGATTGTTCATCTATCTGTGTGCTCCTCATTCCTACTGTTCTGTAACTGCTGATGCAACACTGACATGTCCCACTGTGGATGAGGGATCTCTTCATCCTCATGATTTGTTGTTCTGTGTCACAGGAAACGTACCTTATGAAGCACATGTCCAAACACACTGTGGTGGAGCATCTCGTCAGCCACCAGTCTCCACAGAGGAGCGACTCTCCCGGCAGCATTCCCATCCGCATCTCCCTCATCTGAGCTCGGCCTCACTCCTCACCCCTCACCCCTCACCTCGGCCTCTCATCGACAGGCTGTCTCAAGAGTCTGAAAGAGGTGTGAAAAACAAAAAGCAGTATTTCCGAATGTAATGTCCCGGCTTGTTGATTTCTGGAGGATGGAGACGGAAAAAAAGATTGTTATGGGTCAGATTTCTAAAGCACTTTTTTGTAAGCGATGTGTAAATGCGCTGGATTTGATTGGACGTCAGACGTGTCTCAGTTGGGCCTCCTTCAGACCGGACTTAGAGATTTCCCCAACAAGATGAATACTGTTGTTTTGAAATAGTATTTCTCGTCCATTCGTGCCCTCAATGCACTAAAGCAGTCACAGACAGCACCTTTGAATAGAAGAGAAAGTCTGGCTGGCCAGGCTAACGATTTTGGCAAAAGTGAAGCCATACTTTGTGAAAGGCTTCATAGCACAGGGTTCCCTCGTTAGGACCCAATATTGAATACAGTGGTCCCTCACTATGACTCGGTTCACCTTTTGCGGCCTCGTTGTTTTGCAGTTTTATGTCTGCTGATTGTTTCTCAACATCACATAACCGCTGGTGTACCATGACTGTTACCTTTATTTAAAGTCAAAAGAAAACTTGTGGCTTGTATGATTAGTTTAGAGGACTAAGATCGTGGCCCTCATTCTTCTCTCTGGTCTCTCTCCCTGGTCTTTATCTGGTCTCTCTCTCTGCTCTAGGTCTCTGAGCTCTTTTACAGGTTGTCAGAAAAGTGTAAAAAATGGATGGATGGGTTTTACAGACTTAAAACACACAGCTGCTACTTACTTGTTTTGACTTAATTTAGGTTTTTGAAGGTGACCCCCGCGATAAATGAGGGACCACTGTATTCAGAAGCAAGAACATGTTTTTGTCTGAAGGAGGCCTCTTTTTCCATTAAATGGATTTTTTTTATGTGCCACAGCGACACAATATTTGCCCTTTTTAAAACAAATCAAAAATAATTCCTATTTTCTGGGTGTGACTAGAAACATCCAAAGATGATTAAAGCACTTTGAGGCCACTGGGGGCGACATTTTGAGAAGCCAAAGGCAGCTACAGCCTCAGTCCTGTCGTTACAGGTCACTGACTAAAAAGGCAATCAGTGGAAGACAATTTAAGAATTTGGTGATTGTATTAAAACCAATGTAAAACGTATAAGGAAAAATGAATGTTGATTTAAACCCCAAATATTATTCCGTGTTTGGCACCTTTTATGATCATAAAGTGATCGACTGCTTTGTTTAGTTTGAACTGTTTAGTGCCATAAGAACCTGATCAAGGTTTACAAAACTAAAGGTTTGCTTTAGTTGTGTTTGTTTTTATAGATTCTGAACAACTCAGAACCATAACGTTTTAGCAGTTTCCTCACAAAAGCCAGGATGCATTTTGTTTGAATAACTTTTGGAAACATACTGACAGACACTTAATAATGTTTTAAGGTTAAAGGGGACATAACATGTGACACAGAATCTTGTTTTCACTTCAGTTACTCACTCTGGGCGTTCATGCCGGACCATTTGTCACTGGTTTCATACGTTGGTGTGAATATTTTCATGTCCGACATGTTTTTCCAGCGGCAGGTGTGCTTTTGTAGTGGTGAGTACAGCGGCGTATCTGGAGGATCTCAGAGACACAGACTCACCACAGAGCTGCTCTTGTGTGGGAGAACTTTACATGAAAAACTTGTTAGCATCAAACCACTTCCACCTTGCGTTTTTAGGCATCACAGCTCAGTAGGTTGGATTTACTAAACTCATGTGGCTGATTGACATCTACTGAACGTTGCGTCGAGGCGTCATCAGTGGGAATGCAGCTTCGCTCTTATTCCTTGCCTTATTTATATAAAGTATTGTGAGTATAAGAGTATAAGCAACGAGCGATTAGATCGGAGCATGTTATGTCTTCTTTCACTTCAAGTCTTGGGTCAAAATAGATTATATTACTTTTGCCGTCACATCTCATCTGTCAAATGTGAGAAACGCAAACTAGCCAAAGGAGTTAGATAATCCTTCAAAGTGTTATGTCTCAAATGGCATCATTGGTAACCTTGGCAACTGTGCAGTAAAACCGGGCCAAATCGTGACCTCCTGTATAAAGTATTTCCCGTCCATTTGAGTACTTTTGGTATTCATAATAAGCTTTACTGATGATACATGCCACCTCCCATAAAGCCCAGCCTCAGATATACATTGTAATTTTTCCATGGTTGTTTTGACTATAACTTTGAACGGTACAAAAATCTTCTGGATATTTTGAGGACAATGTAAAATAGGTATTACACACATTATACACAATACTGTTATTACTTCAAGCCACTGGGCAAAAACAGAAAAAACTACAACGAACCCTGCCTCTTCTGCTCTCCATCTATGGGAGCGTGTACATTTATTCAGTCATTGTAGCTTTTAAAAAACACATTTTTTTGTTTTGTTTTTACATGTTTATAAAGAACTTACTGTAATATTTTAGCTGATGTTTTTTTAACCATGTTTTGTATCAGTTCTCTTTGGAGTCATTTGGAGAACGGTTGATGGTGGTGGCTGCAAATCGTGTTGTGCCAAATATATATATACACACACAAATACACACACGACACGGGGAGGTTTGGTACAGATGTGATGATTCGCTAGTATTGCGATATGCGGACCGCAATTCAATTAAATTCTTAACATATTGCAATACAGCAGGTACAGCTATTCGATGCTGCCATATATGGTGATTTATGTCACTTATATTATTCAAAGACATTACAACCATTGAGGAAAATACGACTCAACTCATAGTCTGTACATGAACTGAAGCAAACACTTAGGAGGGTAAGGTTTAGATACATCATTATTCTCTGAATAGATGACTCACATAAATGGTGAGCTCCCAACACCTCACATTATTCAAATACAACAGACTAGAGTCACAACAAGCAGACATCATAGAGAATGATCGGAGCTAGAGCTGCGTTCGCATCGCCGGTACTAAGTCAGACCTGTTCCTGGTGCATGTTGGCCTTCGCCAAGGCTGCCCTTTGTCACCGGTTCTGTTCACTATCTTTTTGGACAGAATTTCTAGGCGCAGACAGAGGCCGGAGGGGGTCCGGTTCGGAGACTCCAGGATTTAATTTCTGCCGTTTGCGGACGATGTTGTCCTGTTGGCTCCAACGAACCAGGACCCGCAACATGCACTGGGACGGTTTGCAGCAGAGTGTGAAGCGGCTGGGATGAGAATTAGCATCTCCAAATCTGAGGCCATGGTGCTCGACCGGAAAAAGGTGCCTTGCCCTCTCCAGGTGGGTGGAGAGGTCTTTCCTCAAGTGGAGGTGTACAAGTATCTCGGGGTCTTGTGCACGACTGAGGGAAGGGTGGAGCGTTAGACAGACAGGCGGATTGGTGCAGCGTGCGCAGTTGTGGTAAAGAGGGAGCAGAGTCGAAAGGCCAAGCTCTCGATTCACCGGTCAATCTTCATTCCCTCCCTCATGGTCATGAGCATTGGGTAATGACCGAAAGGACATGATTCAGCAGGGAGGCCGGGCGCCACCTTAGAGATAGGGTGAGGAGCTCAGTCACACGGGTGGAGCTCAGAGTGGAGCCACTGCTTCTCCATGTTGAGAGAAACCAGTTTAGGTAGCTCGGGCATCTGTTCCGGATGCCTCCTGGACGCCTCCCTGGGGAGGTGTTCCAGGACGTCTCACCAGGAGGAGACCCCGGGGAAGACCCAGGACTCGCTGGAGAGACTTTGTCTCTCAGCGGGCTGGGGAACGCCTTGGGGTCCCCCCGGACGAGCTGGAGGAAGTGTGTGTGGATAGGGAAGTCTGGGCGTCTCTGCTTAGACTGCGACCCAGCAACGGATGAAGCAGAAGATAGATGTGTGTGGATTGATAGAAAAGCATTGGTAGAGCTCAGACCTTCCACATTATAAACTAGAATGATGTGGAATAACTTTAAATATTAGAGATTGACCTTGATATTTTAAGGCATATAGGAGGATTTTCTACTTCCGGGTGGATAATCAAGACTATTGGTCGTCCTAATTGTCAATAATTTTGGAGATATGTGCTTGTCAAATAAAATGAAAGAGTTTTGTTCAAGTGGAGAGGAAAATTGTCCTATATACCATTTAACTTTAACCATTAAAACGACTTATTCTCACTTTTAAAAGCTAAAATATGTTCGGAATCTACGCCAGATTTACAGCTGCCACCAGATACTGATGAAGAGACCTGATCTCTCTCAATAAATAGTTTTTTAATGGATGTGATTAAAACAATTTCCTCTGGTGGATGAACTCACTGGACTAGAGCCCGAGGCCATCTTCCCCCACAGATCACATTCATAAATGACTGAGGTATTGTGTCTTTCTCTGTTCTATTTGTCGCAGTATTCAAATGCATAACTTTTTATTTCTTTGTTTTATAAGAAAGGGTGAATCTGTATTAACCATGTTTCTCTACGGAAAGGTATTATGTAGATTACCCTAGACATCTTTTCCTCCTGTTGAATGCATTGTGGTTTCATAAAAAAAAAAAAAAAAAAACAGTTTCTAGATTAAACTAAATATGCACAAGCAGGAGTGAGAAAATATTAATGTTTAAAAAAGGAAAACAAGCTTTGTATCTTAACCTTGTTTATTAAACAGACTGTTATAAACAGAACAATGTGTGGCATTCATTTGTGTGTTTGGAACCTGGAGTCCTAGATAACGGTAGTTATCTCTGCAGACTTTACAAAGCTGTAGATTCACCAACACAGATCAGAATCAAAATGTCGGCGGAACTGGGGGCGCAGTGGTTAGCGCTTGTTCTTCACAGCCAGAAGGTCCTGGGTTCGATTTCACCTCCAGACCATTCTGCATGGATTTTGCTTGTCTGTGAAAGGCGCTATGTAAATAAAGGTGACTTACTTATTTGGGGAGAGAAAAGTGAGAAACCTCTGGGATGCCCACACTGAGGGAAGAATCCGCTCCCACGGACAGACAGACTAAATCCATGACT